TTGTATATGTAGCTTCATGGACATTGTGAGATTTTTTTTTCAGGGATATATATGCAGGAGTAGGCTTGCTGCAACACAGACTAGACAGCACCTAATTTGACTGAAGTCCAGAATGACCGTAGTGGTCCACATGCTCATTAGCTGTATTCTCCTCTATCTCTATTTCCTGACCAAACTTGGGCATTATCCAGCTTTCAAGTTTTTGCCAGATGAAATGTGTAAAATTATTACCCTGTGCATTACTCTGTTTTTTTTTTTTTTTTTTTTTTTAGTTGGAGTCTCACTCGTTGCCCATACTGGAGTGCAGTGGCTGCTCCTGGCCACCGCAGCCTTGGCCTGCTGGGCTCCGGCGATCCTTCCACCTCAGCCTTCCAAGTAGCTGGAACTACAGGCGCGCGCTACCATGCCCGGCTAATTTTTTTATTTATTACAGAGATGAGGTCTTGCCAAGTTGCCCAGGCGGGTCTTGAACCCGCAGGCTCAGGCAATTCACTCACCTTGGCCTCCCAAAGCGCAGGATTACAGGCTGAGCCACTGACCCTGGCTACTCTGGTTAGTGGTAAGTTTGTTTATTACCTTTGGTGGCTTCTTTGTAAATTGCCTGATTATGTCCTTTGCCTATTTTTCTTTTTTTTAGTTGGAGTCTCACTCTGTTGCCCAGGCTGGAGTGCAGTGGCACACTCACGGCCACTGCAGCCTCCAACAGCTGGGCTCAGGCGATCTTTCTGCCTCAGCCTTCCAAGTAGCCGGAACTATAGGTGCGGTACTATGCCTGGATAATTTTTGATTTATTGTAGAGACAAGGTCTTGCCAAGTTGTCCGGGTTGGTCTTGAACCCGCAGGCTCAGGCAATCCTCTTGCCTTGGCCTCTCAAAGTGCTGGGATTACAGGCTAAGCCACTGAGCCTGCCCTGCCCATTTTTCTACTGGAGTTACTCTAATTTTCTTAGTAATTTGTAGTTTCTTGTATTTCCTTCTAGATATTAGTCTTTTGTCGGTTTTAAAATTGCAGGTATTATCTCCTGCTTTTTCATCTTTCTGTTAACTTTGTCCATAGTGTCTTTTGTTGAACAATCATTCTTAATATGAATGCAATAAAATGTATCAGTTTATCAGGAGTTTTTTTTGCCTCATGTTTGTGGTTCTTCTTACATCTGTGCCACAGAGATACTTTCTCCTAGTAACTGTATAGTTTTACTTTTCACATTCAGTTCTTTATTCCATTTGCAAGTCAACTTTGTATGTGGTATTAGGTAGATTTCCTACTTATTTATTTATTTGAGTCAGAGTCTCACTCTGTCACCCAGGCTGGAGTGTAGTGGCATGCTCACGGCCACTGCAGCCTTGACCTGCTGGGCTCAGATGATCCTTCTGCCTCAGCCTTTGAAGTAGCTGAATCTACGGGCATGTGCCACTGTGCCCAGCTAATATTTTAATTTATTGTAGAGACGAGGTCTCGCCTAGTTGCCCAGGCTGCTCGAACCCGTGGGCTCAGCCAATCCTCTCACCTCGGCCTTCCAAAGTGCTGGGACTGTAGGCGTGAGCCACTGTGACTGGCCTATTTATTTATTTATTAATTATTTTTTTGAGTTGGAGTCTCACTCTGTCGCTCAGACTGGAGTGCAGTGGCCGCTCCCGGCCACCACAGCCTCGACCTGCTGGGCTCCGGCGATCCTTCAGCCTCAGCCTTCCCAGTAGCCGGAATTACAGGCATGCGCTACCACGCCCGACTGATTTTTAAATTTATTGTAGAGATGAGGTCTTGCTGCCCAGGCGGGTCTCGAACCTGCGGGCTCAGGCAATCCACTCACCTCAGCCTCCCAAAGGCGGGATTACAGGCTGAGCCACTGAGCCCAGCTCTATTTATTTATTTTTAAATGCAGCAGTTTCTCCCCAACAGGAACTACTACATAATCTGTCATTTCCTCCACTGATTTGTGGGTTATCTTTTCCACATAGAAATTTCCCACGTATGTATGCTTTTTAAGTTTGTTAGTCTAGTCCATTAGACTGTTTTCCTGTTCTTACATCAAAACCACCTTGTTTTTTTAATTTTTTTGGTTTTGTCTTATGTATTTGAATAATTTTTTTCTGTTTTATTTAATTTTTGTTTATTTCTCTTTTTTCTTACTATTATACAAATGAAGATTTCAGTTGTTGTTGTTAGTTTTTAAGGTAGGGTCCCACAATTTTATCCAGGCTGGTCTTGAACTCCTGGTCTCAAGTAATCCTCCTGCCTCAGCTTCTCAAATAGCTGGGATTACTTGCACTCACCACCACACCTAGCTGAATATTTTAATACATGTTGGTAGGGCAAGTTCTACCCCTCACTTTCCTTTTTTATGTAACAGCTTTGGTATATATGTTTTGAGGTTTTGGAATAAGTTTATCGACTTAAAAAAACTAATGACTTTTGAATTTATAGATTAATGTGGTGAACATGTTCATTTAGATCATCTTTGTTCTTTCCTAGAGCTTTAACATTTTCTTCATAAAAGGCTTATATATTATTTAATGCCTATAAACTTTATGATTTCATTGCTACTGTGAACGGTGTCATATTTTCCTTTATATTTCCAAATTGGTTATTGCTGGTAGAGAGAAAAGCCACTGATTTTTCTAGGCTGATCTTGTGTCCCACAACCTTACTAACCTCTCTTATTGGTTCTAAAAGTCCATATGTTGATTTGACTTTTCTATGTAGATGATCTTACCAACTGCAATTAACGACAGTATTTTTCTTCTTTTCTAATACCTATAACCACTTTTTTCTTTTTCTTCCCTTCTAACTTTGCCTACACTTTCAAGTTCCATGGTAAATAGTAGCAGTGAGAGTGGCATATCCATCCTGTTCTCCTTCTTGAAGGAAATACATCTATAGTTCCTCCGTTAAGCATAACGCTTGCTGTTATGACTTTGGCTTATACATTTTTTTTTTTGAGTTGGAGTCTCACTCCATCACCCAGATTGGAGCGCAGTGGCCACTCCCGGCTACCGCAGCCTCGACCTGCTGGGCTCCAGCGATCCTTCCGCCTCAGCCTTCCGAGTAACCGGAATTACAGGCATGCGCTACCACACCGGCTAATTTTTTGATTTATTGTAGAGATGAGGTCTCTCCAAGTTGCCCAGATGGGTCTTGAACCCGCGGGCTCAGGCAATCCACTCACCTCAGCCTCCCAAAGTGCTGGGATTACAGGGTGAGCCACTGAGCCCGGCTTGGCTTATACATTTTAATAAGTCAAAAAAGTTCCTTCTATTCCTATTTTTCTAAACGTGTTTATCAAATACCTTTTCCTACATAATTCAAGAAAACCAACCTGGACACATGGACTGCCATGTTGCTAGAAACATCAATTCAAAACATGTTTTCTGTCAGAGTACTGGGACATGATTTAATGCACTGTGGCTGCATAGTAGGCTCTGACAGACTGGCAAGGCACTGGTAAGGCTGTAGGACCTTTGGGAATATTAGAAGAAAAACTTAACATAAAACTCCAAAGGAAAATTTATTAATCATTTATTATGTACCAAGCCTCACAGTAACTTTATGAGGTAAGTATCCATTATCCCCAACTTACAGTTGAAGAAACTGAGGTGCAGAGTGGTTCAGTAACTTTCCCAAAGTTACACAGCTGATAAGTGATGGACCTCAGGCAGCCTGGCTCCAGAATTCATTATCTTAACATTATAATTTGTTCTGTCACAAAAGCAGTGTGGCTGAAATGAAAGTCAATGATAATTGAGAAATCTCAGGCAAGTTTTCTTATTAAAAAAACAGCATGATTTGTATGTGTTCCCACAGATCTTTAGATATGCTTTATATGTACATAAAAAATATTTTGGATCTAAGTGACTGGCAAGTTATTCTGTTGCTTTTGTTTGAAGATCAGCATCAGCTCTACCATTGAATCAGTGCCATGGATTCTAAGCCTGGTAGTCATTCCAGGGACCCTTCCACCTAAAACCACTTAACACTGATCAAGCATTTTGTATGTGTTAGTCCCTGTTCTAATGTTACCTGCATCAGTGCAGAGTTTTTCACTCTTGGCACTGACAGTTAGGGCTGGAAAATTCCTTCCTTCCTTCCTTCCTTCCTTCCTTCCTTCCTTCCTTCCTTCCTTCCTTCCTTCCTTCCTTCCTTCCTTCCTTTCTTCCGTCCTCTCTCCCTTTATCTCTCTCTCTCTTTCTGACAGGGAATAATAGCTCTGTCGCACAGACTTGAGTGGTGTAATCATAGCTTGCTGTAACCCAGAGCTCTTGGGCTCAAACAATCCTCCCATATCAGCCTCCTGAATAGCTAGGACTACAAGTACATGCCAACTCACATGGTTAATTTTTACATTTTTTTGTAAAGACATGGTCTTGCTATGTTGTCCAAGCTGGTCTTGAACTCCTGGTCTCAAGTGATCTAGTTGCCTCAGTCTCCCAAAGTGTTGAGATTACAGTCATGAGCTACCATATATCTTTATTGTGGGGAGTTACTGAGAAAACCAGCCTGGACACATGGACTGTCATGTATCTTTATTGTGGGGATTTACTGAGAAAACCAACCTGTACACATGGACTGACATGTTGCTAGAAACAGAAATTCAAAACATGCCAGTAGAACCTCCTTCTTCACATGTGATCACCAAAAAGGTTTCCAGACATTTCCAAATGGCCCATGGGGGTAGAACCTACTTCTGACTGACAATCACTGTGTTAGTACATTTAATTCTTCATAAAATCCCTATGAAGTAACTACTTTTATTATCATTCCCATTTTGTCAGTGAGAAGATTAAGTTTATACAGAAATTAAGCAACTTTCCCAAAGTTATGCCAAATAGGTGCTGCAAATGGGACTCAAATTCAGACCTCTCTGACTCTAAACTTAGCCACGAAACTCTGCTGCCTTCCAACTATCTACTGATTTAAAGGAACTCTATAGATTGTGATCCCCTGGACCCTCAGAAAGTCTCAAAACCTTTTTGGGGTTTTTTTGGGGGGTCTGATTCTTGCAGATACTGGGATCTGAAAAGTGGAGTTTGCATACGAATCTTCAATGGCCACCAAGGGACAGTCACTTGTATGGATTTGTATAAGAACAAGTTTGTATCTGGAGCAAGAGATTGCCAGGTAAAAGGTGAGAAATAAATGGCTTAAATTTTCTCAGAAGTATCCCCAAATCCATGAATTACCAAAATGCTTATTTTGCTCATTTCTATGGGTAGTCATTTATTCTTTTTCCATCCATCCATCCATCCATTCATCCATCTACTCAACAACTATTTGTTGACTACTTGCAATATACTACACAGTATGCTAGGTGCTGAGGAGATTAAAAATGAATATGGTATGGCTTTATTGATTGATTGATTGATTTAGAGTTGAGTCTCACTCTGTTGCCCAGGTTGAAGTGCAGTGGCATGATCAGGTCTCACCACAGCCTCAACTCCCTGGGCTTAGGTAATCCTTCTGCCTCAGCTTCCCGAGTAGCTGGGACTATAGGCACACGCCCCTACGCCCGGCCAGTTTTTTTGTTTTTTAGAGATAAGGTTTCACTATGTTGCCTAGAGTCCCTGCTATTGCTTGAACTCTCTGGCTCAAGCAATCCTTCTACCTTGGCCTCCCAAACTGCTGAGATTACAAGTGTGAGCCACTGTCCCTAGCCTGATATGGCCTTTTAGATATGGCTTTTTATTTCTTCAAGGGGCTTATAGTCTCTTAATGAAGGCAGATATGTACATATATAATGGCAGATATAATAAATACATGACTGATAGCTGCCATTTATTGAGTACCAATTTTGTGGCAGGCACTGTGATAGATGCCTTATATATATTATCTTATTACTATTTAATAAGATAATATATATTATTAATATTATTATTTAATTCTCACAAGAACCCTATGAGGTGGATGCAGATGGGGAATCCAAACCTCAGATAAAAAAATAAAAAATAAAATTCAGATAAAAAAATAAATTGCCCAAAATCTAGTCTCCTAAGTGGTTTAAGGAGGATTTGAACCCAAGGTTTTCTGGCTTTAAGTCATGTGCTCCTAACCACATGTACAGTTCTAAGGGATAATAGAGATAAGAGTAAATCAGGGAGAGTGTCCTGGGAAGAGTGCCATTTGCGTGTGGTCTTGAGGATGAGTAGTTTTCTTGGCACAGAAGAGGGAGAGCATAGGGCATTCAAGGCAGAGGGGACAGACAATGCAAGTGCACAGCAGGGTGAAGAAAACCGTGTATTCGGGATGGTTCCGTTGTTTGTGTGGCTGGACACTGTGTGTGGTGCTGGAGATAGGGCTGGTAAGTTTGCGTGGGTCCACATTTTAAAGTGTCTTCTGCATCATGGTGCAAAATGGAACTTTATTCTAGTGGACATGGAACTCCATCAGTGCATTTAAAGTTGGAAATTGGCATGATCAAATGTGTACTTTAGAAAGATAACTCTAATGATAGTTTGAAAGAAGGATTTGGAGAGGAGTGACTATATGAAGATAGGGAACAAGTTAAGATGCTATCCAGTCCAGAGAACTGCCATAGTGTTTTCAGAAAAATCTGAGAAACAAGTGGGAAGGGACTCGGATAGATGTGACCTTACATTTAGTGGCCCAGACTGAAGGGAGATCTTGAGAGGGAAAATTGGCAAGGCTTTACTACCAACTAGATATGAAAAGTGAGGAACAGATGATAAGATCAAATTTTTTCTTAAATTCAAGCCACTGGGTATATGGAGATATCATTAATGGAAACAGGGACTGCAGGGGAAAAGCAGTGTAGGTTGAGGAATGGGGAGGTGGTCATGAGTACAATTTTGGACATACTGGGTATAGTAGGCAGAATAATGGCCAATAATGGCCAACCACAAAATGTTTCCATCCTAGTCCTTGGAATCTGTGACTATATTACCTCGCATGGCAAAAGGGACTTTGCAGATGTAATTAAGGACTTTATTTTATTAAAAAAATTTTTTTTGAGTGGGAGTCTCACCTTGTCACCCAGTTTACAGTGCAGTGGCACATTCACAACCACCGCAACCTCAATCTGCTGGGTTCAGGCTTCCTTCCACCTCAGCCTTGTGAGTTGCTGGGACTACAGGCATGTACCACCATGCCTGGACAATTTTTTTATTTATTGTAGAGATGAGGACCCACCAAGTTGCCCAGGCTGATCTCAAACCTCTGGGCTCAGGCAATTTTCTTGCCTCTGCTTCCCAAAGTGCTGGGATTACAAGCATGAGTCACTATGCCCAGCCAAGATAAGGACTTTAAAATGGGGAGATTGTCCTGAATTATTGGAGTGGGTCCAATATTATCACATAAGGTATTATAGAAGCATTATTGACTGTGATCAAAGGGAGATGTGACCATGGAAGAATGGTCAGAGAGAGGCAATGTTCCTGGCTTTGAAGGTGGAAGAAGTGGCCACAAGCCAATGAATGTGGGTGGCCTCTCAAAACCCACATAGAAGGACAAGGAAATGGATCCTTTCAGAATCTCCACAAAGGAACACATCCCTGCAGACACCTTGATTTTAACCTTGTGACGTCATATCAGACTTCTGTAAGATAGCAAATCAGCTACTAGGCTTATGGTCACTTGTTACAGAAGCCATAGAAAACTAATATATTGAATACAAGATTCCTGAGGACAGACAGATAAAAATTTCCAGGAGGCAGATCTGGAGCTCCAGATATATGAATTTGGTAGTTTTTAATTGTAATGAACAGTGGAAGCCCCAGTTGTGAGTGAGATTCCCCCAGAAAAACAGGAGGAAAGAGCAAAAAGAGAAGAGAAATAAGGAACCTCGAGAACCACAGCATGTTAGGGGCAGGCGGAAGAAAAATTGATGGGAAAGGGACAGTGAAGTGGTGTTACTTATGCAAACATGCAGACTTACTTAGGAAATCTCGCTCCACCTCCTCACCCTCCTCCACCTGATCCAAATACATCATTGTCATGATTGCTTTGAGGAGTACAGCAGAAAGGGTGAAAACTGCCCAGGTGAGGATCTGAGGAAAGAAGGGCAGTCAAGCCCTCCGAGCTGGCTGGGAGAGTCTCATGGGCCCCCAGTGGGCTGGGACTAGAGAGAGGGGAGTGAGGCCCTTCTCTCAGGGGCACCAAAAAAACCCTCGGTGCTCAGGATCAGGATACATTTTTCTTTCTTTCTTTCTTTCTTTCTTTCTTTCTTTCTTTCTTTCTTTCTTTCTTTCTTTCTTTCTTTCTTTCTTTCTTTCTTTCTTTCTTTCTCTCTCTCTCTCTCTCTCTCTCTCTCTCTCTCTCTCTCTCTCTCTCTTTCTCTTTTTTTAAGTTGGAGTCTCACTCTGTTGCCCAGGCTGGAGTGCAGTGGCACCCTCCTGGTCACCGCAGCCTTGACCTGCTGGGTTCTGGCGATCCTTCTGGTTCAGTCTTCCAAGGAGCCAGAACTACAGTCATATGCTAATTTTTTTTTTTTAATTGTAGATACAAGATCTCGCCAATTTGCCCGGGCTGGTCTCGAACCCATGGGCTCAGGCAATCCACTGGGATTACAGGCTGAGCCACTGAGCCTGCCCAAGATACATTTTTCAATGCAATACTTTAAAAGGCAAAATTAATGCACAAAATTAATGATGAACAAAATTTCAAAATCTCTCACTTCACCTTAATAATAACTCAGCCTGCCTGGCTTACCAAAATGGAATGAACAAAGAGACTATTAGAGACCTGAAAAGCAACCCCCCACTTTTTTTAAAATTATTTTTTTATTTTAAAGATGTGAGGTGGCCGGGCACAGTGGCTCACACCTGTAATCCCAGCACTTTGGGAGGTGGAGGGGAGAGGATTGCCTGAGTCCAGGGTTCGAGACCAGCCTGGGCAACTTGGTGATACCTTGTCTCTGCAAACTTGGTGATACCTTGCCTCTGCAATAAATCAAGAAAAATGAGCCAGGTGTGGTGGTGCACATCTGTAGTTCCAGCTACTTGGAAGAACGAGATGGAAGGATCACCTGAGCCCAGCAGATCGAGGCTGCGGTGGCTATGAGTGTGCCACTGCACTCCAGCCTGAGCGACAGAGTGAGACTCCGACTCAGAAAAAATGTGGGGCACAATTCAGGATTAGGTATATAAATGATATACCTAATATATATATGTGTGTGTATATATATATGTGTGTGTGTGTGTACCCTTGTTGATGAGGTATGCTCCCCCTTCCTCCCTGGCAGTTTCCTACTACTGCCAATTCCTTTCTTATATATTATGATAATTGTTCAAGATTCGCTTATATAAGAGTGAGAACGTGGTACTCAGTTCTTTGTTTTTGTGATAGATCACTCAGTATTATAGACTCTAAGTCCGTCCAAGTTGCAAGATCAAAAGCCTGGTATTGGTATAAGAACAAGTATGTAGACCAATGGAACAGGATAGAGATTCTGGAAGTAAAACCTCAATTTCTCAACCAACTCATCTTCGACAAAGCCTCCACCAATAACCACTGAGGACAGGAGAACCTCTTCAGTAAATGGTGCTGGGAAAACTGGAGGACCACAAGCAGAAGATTAAAACAAGACCCCTACCTATCACCATATACAAAATCAACTCTAAATGGATCAAAGACCTAAATGTAAAAACCTCAAACTATAAGAACCTTAGAAAATGCAGGAGACATCCTTATGGAAATTGGAACTAGCAACCAATTCCTGATCAAAACCCCAAATGCCCATGCCATAAGAGATAAGAAAGACAAGTGGGACCTCATTAAACTGAGCCTTCTGCAAAGCCAAAGAAACCATCAAGAGAGTGGGGAGACAGCCCACAGAATGGGAAAAATATTTGCCAACTGTATATCTAACAAAGGCCTAACATCCAGGATCTACAAGGAACTCACATGTGCCAAAAAGAAAAAAAACAAACAGCCCTATTACAAAGTAAGCAAAAGATATGAATAGACACTTCTTAAAAGAAGACATACAAGCAGCCAACAGGTATGTGAAAAAATGCTCAGTCTCACTAGTTATCAAAGAACTGCAGATAAATACCTCACTAAGATACTACCTAACTCCAATCAGAGTGGCCATCATCAATAACTCAAAAAACAATAGATGCTGGAGAGGATGCAGGGAAAAGGGAACACTTCTACACTGCTGGTGTTAGTGTAAGCTAGTACAATCTCTGTGGAAAACAGTTTGGCAATTCCTAAAATATCTAAAAATCGACCTTCTGTATGACCCTGCCATCCCTCTTCTGGGAATATACCCGGAGGGACTCAAGTCACTCCATGAAAAAGATAACCTGCACACACATGTTTATTGCAGCATTGTTCACAATAGCAAGAACATGGAACCAACTGTGCTGCCCATTGAAAAAGGACTGGATAAAAACAATGTGGTACATATACATGATGGAATACTATGCAGCCATGTAGAAGGACAAAATTAATCCTCCACTTTTAAAATTATTTAAGTCAGGGAAATTTAGCAATGAATCATTTTTTTTTTGAGTCAAAGTCTCACTCTGTTGCCCAGGCTAGAGTGCAGTGGCATGCTCATGGCCACCTCAGCCTCGACCTGCTGGGCTCAGGCAATCCTTCTACCTCAGCCTTCCAAGTAGCTGGGACTACAGGCATGTGCCACTACGCCTGGCTAATTTTTTGATTTATTGTAGAGATGTAGTCTTGCCAACTTGCCCAGGCTGGTCTCGAGCCTGTAGGCTCAGGCAGTCCTCTCACCTCGGCCTTCCAAAGTGCTGGGATTATAGGCATGAGCCACTGTGCCTGATCACCAGTGAATCTTTTAATTCATCTTTCACTTTTCCCATTGGTAATTTAATAAATGGGCCAAGATTTGTTGTTCTGGGAAAGGGCTATATATACAAAGCAGCCCCCAAATACTGAAGGAGTTAGGAAACCATAGAGGCAGACAAATTCAGTTTGCCCACAAGGGGTGATTTATTAGGAAACTAATGAACAGAAGTGTGATCTTGGGCAGCCACAAGACAGGTAAATCTCTGCACTAAAACCCCCGCCTCAACTCAGGGATTACATCTGGGAAAAAGTAAAAGTGCTTGGGAAGGAATGTGTAGGTGACTGTGAGCATCACAGCCTATAATATATGCAACAACATCAAGGATCATTTTGGAGAAAAGGTGAAACTTACGGTAAACAGGTGTTTTCTACATAAATAGGAATACATCAACTAGAAAGCTTGAAGGCATTCCCAGAATCAGGATTAGTCAGGAATATTGTGGTTGTTAGCATTTAAAATAGAGTTACTCTTGTCTCTGCATATATACATAAAAAAATAAGTGAATAAAAGCATACTTACATATGGTTAACCTAGCATAAATGGTTAAGAGCAGGCCTCTGGATCCAGAATCCTGGGTTCAAATCTTGACTCTACAACTACCCACCTGTGTGACCTTAGCGGGTAACTGAACCTTCCTATGCCTCAGTTTCCTCATCTGTGTAGTGGGACTAATAATAATACCTGTCTTCTGAAGATGAGTTAATACATGTCAAGCACATTGAATGGCTTCTGGCTCATTGTTAGTGCCTTGTAAGTATCAGCTACAGTTATTATTTTGTCTTAGGTCACCTGTTCCATTGCTTGAGGAAGAGGATGCTTTGGGGGTTGATAAAGCAGACTTTAATGTTTGTATTCCAAATTCATGGTGCCTACTTTCAACTTCTAACTTTTAGCTGTGTTCTCTCATCCACCCATTTATTCTCATCTCCTATAGTATGACAGGAGTTGCTCTAACACAGTCTATGTAGAAGCAGCAGTAAACTCACCTCTAGCCATGACCATTCTTCCATAAAATTCAAACTTTGGATTCAGAAATATTTTATAATGTAAGTGAGGGTAGATAACTTTCTTTGCTTTTGGGGATAGAAGGTATGGATCAGGAAGACAGCATCTGGGAGGAATGGTGACACTAAACAGATGCCACGATTTTCATGACATCTATTCAATAGCAAGCATGTTTCAGGCTTGGGGAACAGGCTTATTGGAGATGATCTGTCTAGCATTTGGACCCCCAGGTTAAGTTCCAGGGTCAGCACCAAGGTCTTGGGTACTGTCAGCTCTCCCAAGGCCTGTGGTCTGGAAGATCTATGTTGTAGGTATGTGGAGCTGTTGGTGATCCTGCTCTGCAGTACAGCCAGGCCATGTGAGGGCCTTCTAGGATCTGATTTGATAGGTTTGGCTGGTCTTTGTTTTCTGTAAAGGGGAGCAGAACCTGATTCTAACCGTCCCCCTTTCTCCTCTCCCTCCCCTTCCCTCTCTGCTTGTCTCTTTTCCTTTTTTTTCCTTCTCCTCTTCAGTATGGGATTTAGATACAGGGAAGTGCCTGAAGACGTTTAAACACAAAGATCCCATCTTGGCCACCAGGATGAGCAACACCTACATCGTGAGCAGCTGTGAACGAGGGGTAGTCAAAGTGTGGCACATTGCCACGGCCCAGTTGGTAAAGGTGAGATGGCTGTGGGCTGAATGGCCTCAGGGGCACTGGTGGTGACCAATTGAAGGAGATGGATGGGCTTCCCCCACGTAGCTCCACAGGTCATCCTAAAGCAATTGAGTTATGGTTTTCAACAGGGATGGTCCTGAAGCTCTAAAGGGGTAGGCTCCAAAGTGGGCATTCTGAATCAGTGGAGGGTACGGGCTTCACCGCCTGCATTGCAACCTACGTTGTAGTAGGGTTGATGGAGGAAAGCTGCATTCTGACTCAGCACGAGATATGGGCCCCGAGGATTTTAACAGAAGTGGAAGCGAAGTACATTTTTCTCTTCCAGAGTATTCTACCCTGACTCTGACATGGGGTGAGAGGATGAACAAAGCATTTTTCCCCTCTAAGGAAAAAACACTGGTAGATGAACTAACAATTCTCTCCCCCCACTTACTCTCTAATGAAGAGAGAACACTGCTTGCCTTGAAATTGAATGAATGTTCACAAAACATCGTCTTGCTGGATTTGAACTCCTGGCTTTAGTGGGTGGTGTTGATGGATCATTACGCCAGGAACACTTGATCACAGTAGAAAGGGGCTGGCTGGCTTGGCTTGTGGATTTTTCTCCACCAATCTCATCACTGTGGTCAAACTAGCAATTGTAGGCACAGGGATGGCCCATGTGCACACTGGATCCTGGTAAGGAGCTGGGATGGAACATCTTAGCTTCACCCTTCCTTCAGTGGAGAACAGTGATTTATGGTCCTTTCTTGTGCTGTGTGGAGATGGTATCTGCCCCAGCCATAGACCCACCAGGAACAAGGCCCTTCCCTGATCACATTCTACCTTAACCTAGGAGACAGCACTAGAGAGAGGGAGGCATGGAGTCTGTTGGCCTTCTTAGAGCAAAAGCAAGGCCAGCTCATGTGGCTACCAAGTGAACAGCTGTCAGAGTTTGGTGGGGTGTGACTTTGAGATTCATCTGAAGAAGCCTCCAGCTTTGGTTCTTGAGGAAGTCACAGTCCGAGTTGAAGAGGGGCTGAAAATAGTGGCATCTTTACTTGCAGATTCTCAGTGGCCACGAGGGAGCCGTGAAGTGCCTGTTCTTTGACCAGTGGCATCTCCTCTCAGGAAGTACTGATGGCCTAGTCATGGCCTGGAGCATGGTGGGAAAGTATGAGCGCTGCCTGATGGCCTTCAAGCATCCCAAGTAGGTACCTGTGAAGAAGCCTGGAATGACGAACCTGGTGTTCCTCCTTTTCCTGTCATATCCTAGACTGCGATCTTTGGCAGGTCCTTCTGCTCCCTGCTGACCTCTTGTCCCCTCTGCATTTCATCCCCTTCTGCTTCCCTCCTCTTCCACCTAGTACCCATTTCCCCCCACCATCTTCTCTGTCTGGCCATTCCCTCTCCCATACTGCTATGTTTCACTTAAGAAATAATACTAGAGGTGGATTTTGAGAAGTTATTAAAATTGTTTATTTATGCCACACATGATACATTTATTTTGGTTACCTACCAGTCATATGAATACCAGCAGAACAATCCCAAATAATTCCTTAAAATTCTTGGAACTGGTCTTTATCTCAGGAAGCTTGTATTCATAGACACTTAAAATGATCTGAGTGCCAAAAGTTTAAACTTTTAAATAGCCAAGGGCTTAAAAACACGAGCATATACTTACAGGTCTGTGAGCTAGATTCTATACCAGAATAGCAAATGGATTTCATTTTACATTTCAATTCATGTTTTGTGGTGGTAGTTGCTTGGAGCCAATTAGTAAGTATCCTGGGATTATATCTGGGATTGTTTGGAAAGGGTATTGTGGTCAATTAATGATTCTGCCATCGTCATGAGTTTTATAAGCTGCTCTATGCCACTTTTACGCTACATGAATAATACCTCTTCCCCTGAGTGCATTATAGAAATTTCCAGGAACCTAAATGTTATCTTAATTGACTAAAAGAGTGAGTTTTCCAGGGGATCTATTAAAGGGTACTTATTTTTAGTAAACTATAGCCCTAGATTTCCTTAGACTCTCATATGAATGGGTTTTGTGGGAGATGTAAGGGTGTATATGTGTTATGTTCTCTGTCTGCATTATTCTCCACCAATCTCATCACTGTGGTCAAACTAGCATACCGGTAATGGCCTGTGTTCAGTGAGTTATCCATCCCTTAGATAATTATCAGTAAGCTTTAGCACAGCATCTAGAGTCTCAAGCCTTGACCTTAAGGAGGGAGTCGAAAGTCGAAATTGTCAACTAAACATGGTAACTATATGTTTGTTTTTTTTTTTTGAGTTGGAGTCTCAATCTGTCACCCAGGCTAGAGTGTAGTGGCATGCTGATGGCCACCACAGCGTTGACCTGCTGGGCTCAGGTGATCCTTCTGCCTCAGACTTCCAAGTAACTAGAACTATAGGCATGTGCCACCACACCCAGCTAATTTTTTTGAATTGTTGTGTAGATGAGGTCTTGCCAAGTTGCCCAGTCTGGTCTCGAACCTGTGGGCTCAGGCAATCCTCTCACCTTGGCCTCCCAAAGTGCTGGGATAATAGATGTGAGTTACTGCAACCGGCCATACTATATGTTTTTAAAATTCAGTAGGATTTAGTTAGTTATTGAAAAATAATTTGTTTCCAGCACTCTCTGGCAATTTGGTCATCATTCTATCACTATGTGAGTCTCTCACTCTACCTCTGTTATGAGACTTATCAGACAACTCCCACTCCCATTGAATAATACCCCCCAACATCCCATAATATTGGTTCTTGATGTCTTACATAGTAACAGTAAAACCACAGACATCTGGAAGACATGATCAATGTTCTTGTTTGTAGGCTCCCTTTTCCCCTACTTGTCTGTAGTAGTGTTGTGTATATGTAAGTGCTCAATAAATATGTCTAACTGATTGGTAATGAGGACTAATTTGACAGATTGCTTTTCTGGATAGTTCTACTGATTGGACCGATATGCATAGTTTGAATATGGCATAGGTAAGAAGACAGATATAGGTACTGTCTGTCCTTTGGTGGAAGAAAGGCTGGAGTGGGATCTCCATTACATTTTCTTGATTCAACGTATTTTCAGCCAAAATTAAGATTTTGAAAATAGTGTAGAAAATGGATATGAGAGAGGCAATTTGAGGATGTAAAATAGGATTGACAATGATGATCTTTAGAAAAACTTCTATACTATGTAGTGTCTTTTTTAAAACAAACTTGATCCGGGCTCGGTGGCTCAGCCTGTAATCCCGCGCCTTTGGGAGGCTGAGGTGTGTGGATTGCCTGAGCCCACGGGTTCGAGACCCGCCTGGGAAAATTGGTGAGACCTCATCTCTACAATAAATCAAAAAATCAGCCGGGCGTGGTGGTGCTTTCCTGTAATTCCGGCTGCTCGGAAGGCTGAGGCGGAAGGATCGCTGGAGCCCAGCAGGTGGAGGCTGCGGTGGCCGGGAGCGGCCACTGCCCTACAGTCTGGGTGACAGAGTGAGACTCCAACTCAAAAAAAATAAAAATAAAAAAATAAAAACAAACTTGTTCTTCAAAATCCTTTCCATAGTTCATATTGCAATTAGGTTTTCTTTGTGTTTTTAAATTGGGATATGATTCACATAAAATTCGCCATTTAGTGTACAATTCAATGGTTTTTTAAAAAAGTACATTCATAATGTTGTACAACTATCACCATTACCTAATTACAGAACATTCTCATCAGTCAGTAGAAATGTTGCCTATTTCATTTCTGACATTAATAATTTCAGTCTTCTTTCCTATTTTCTTAGTCTAAAGATTGTTTAGAACCAGTTTTTGGTTTCATTGATTTTCTGTATTTTTTAATCCTCTATTTCATTAATTTCTTCTATACTATTATTACTTCTTTTCTTCTGCTTGACTTGGCTTAATCTTTTTCTAGTTTCTTAAGGTGAAAGCTTAGGTTATTGATTGGAGAAATGTATGCATCTACAGCTATAAATTTCCCTCATAAATTTTGATATTTTATGTTTTCATTTTAATTCATCTCAAAGTAGTTTATAATTTTCTTTCTGGTTTCCTTTCTGACCCAGTGATTATTTAAGAGCACGTTGTTTAATTTCTGCTTATTTATGAATTTTCTTAACTTCCTTCATTATTCATTTCTAATTTAATTCCATTGTAGTTGAAAGCCTACTTTGTATGATTTCACTCATTCAAAATTTGAGACTTATTTTGTAGTTTAAGATATGGTTTATTCTTGAGAATGTTCCGTATATACTTGAGATGAAAGTTATTTGGTAGAGTGTTTTGTATATGTCTGTTAGACCTAGATTGTTTATGATGCTATTCATGTCTTCTGTTTCCTTACTGATCTATCTAGTTCTTATATCCATTGTTTAAAGTGTGATATTAAAGTCTTTGTCTATGATTGTTAAGTCATGTTTCTCCCTTTAATTCTATCAGTTTTTGTATAATATATTTTGGAGTCCTATTTTTAGATGCACATGCATTTATAATTGTTATATTTTCTTGATACAGTCACTATTCTATCATTATATAATGTATTTTGGGTTTCTTTTAACAATTTGTTTAAAAGTCTACTTTCATATTAGTGTAATCATTCCAGCTCTCCTTTGGTACGGAATATCTTTTTCCATTCTTTGACTTTCAACCATTTGTGTCTTTGAGTCTAAAGTGAGTTTCTTGGTGACAGCATATAGTTAGATCATGTTGTATTTATCTTTTCTTTCAATCTCTGCCTTTTTTTTGAGCTGGAGTCTCACTCTGTCGCCCAGGCTGGAGTGCAGTGGCACACTCACTACCATCCCAGTGTTGACCTGCTGGGCTCTGGAGATCCTTCCACCTCAGCCTTCCAAGTAGCCAGGACTACAGATGAGCGCTATCATGCCCAGCTAATTTTTTTCAATCTCTGCCTTTTAATTGGAGAGTTGAATCCATTTAGAGTTATTGTAAAAAGGACTTCTGACATTTTATTTGTTTTCTATAATCTTATGTGTTTTTTGTCTCTTAATTTTTTCCATTATTGCCTTCTTTTGTGTTACATGGATATTTTTTAGTGTGTATTTGAAATTCCCTTGCATTTCTCTTTGCTATAATTTGAATGTGTCTTCCAAAAAGCATGCGTTGGAAACTTAATCCTCAACAGAGGTGGAGCCTAATGGGAGTTATTATATCATGAGGGCTTTGCATTAATAATGTTATCACAGAAGTGGTTTTGTTATTGTGGGAATGGGTTCCTTATAAAAAAGTGAGTTTGGCTCCCTCTTGCCCTTCTGCCATATTGTGATGCAGCAAAAGGCCCTTCCCAGATGCCAACCCCTTGGTCTTTGACTTTTCAGACTCTAGAACCATGAGCCAATAAATTTGTATTTGTTATAAACTACTCAGTCTGTTGTATTTTGCTACAGCATCACAAAATGGACTAAGACAATTTTACTATATATTTTTGAGCTATTTTATTAGTGATTATCCTGGAGATTACAATTCACATCTTAATTTGTAACAATTTAGTTCCTACTAAAATACCAACTTAATTTCAGTAGCATATTAAAATATTTTTATACAGCCCCTCTCCTCTACAATGCTGTTATTGTCACAAATAAAAATTTTTATACCATGTGTGACCATCATTACAGATTTATAATTATTATTTTATAAAGTTGTCTTTTTCTATCTATTAAATAAGATAGAAAAAAGAAATTATGAGCAAAAAATACATTTGTACTGTCTTTTATATTTACCTAGGTAGTTACCTTTCCTGGTGCTCTTTATTTCTTCAGGTTGATTTGAATTACTGTCTAGAGTCCTTTCATTTTAGCCTGAAGGACTCCATTTGGTATTTCTTGTAAGGTAGGTCTGCTAGTGAGGAACTCTCAGTTTTTGTTTACTGGGAAATGGTTTAATTTCTCCTTCATTTTTGAAAGATGATTTTTGCTGGATATCAAATTTTTGTTCATTTTTCCCCCTTTGAATATGTCATTCCCTTAGTTTCTAGTTTTCATGGCTTCTGACAATAAATTACCCATTAATTTTATTGAGGATCCTTTTTGCATGAGAAACTGCTTCTGTCTCTATGATGAATCGAGGTGTAGGTCTCTTTGAATTTATCCTAGTTAGAATTGTTTGAGCTTCTTAGATATATAGATTAACGTTTTTCATTATATATGGGAAGTTTCCAGTCATTATTTCTTCAAATATTCTTTCTGCCCCATTTCTCTCCTCTCTTTCTGGGACTCCTGTTATGTATATGTTGATGATGTCATGCAGGTTTCTGAGGATCTATTCATTTTTCTTTTTTTTCTTCCTGTTCCACACACTGTATAATTTCAATTGACCTCTTTTCAAGTGTTTTGCTTCTTCTGCCTGCTTAAATCTGCCATTGAGCAGTGGCTAAAACATTTACCTTCAATAAGTTATTTCAGTTATTGTAGTTTTCACCTCCAGAATTTCTACTTGGATTATTTTGTAATTTCTAACTCTTTATTGATATCCTCTATTTAGTGAGACACTGCTCTCATACTTTCCTTTAGTTTTTTAAGGCATGATTTCCCTTATCTATTTGAACATATTTAAAACTGATAATTTAAAGTCTTTGTCTAGAAAGGTTTTTTTCAGAAATAGTTTCTACTGATTACTTTTTTCTCCCATATGGGTCATACTTTCTAGTATCTTTGTATGCTTTGTAATTTTTTGTTAAAAACTGAACATTTTTAATATTTTAATGTGAAAACTCTGTAAATCAAATCTTCCCTGTCCCCAAGGTTTGTTTTTGTTGCAGTTTTTTTTAAAAAAATTGTTTAGAAACTTTCTAATGAATTTTATAAAGTCTGTACTCTTTGTCTTCTTCCGCCACTAGAGTCACTGTTCTATTAGTTTGGTGGTGAGCAAATGCCTGGAGAGATATTTATTTGAATATCTAGAACCAAAATTTCTCCCATTCCTTGTCAAGGGGTTCTGTGTGCCTGTTGCTGGAAGACTTCCACACTCAGTCAGGTAATCTACGAACTGAGACTAATTGTCTTAGTCTTCACTTCCTGCTTGTATGGATGTCAAGTTTTAGCCAGGGGTGAGAGAGAGCTTTGGGCTTTCTCAGGTCTTTCTTAAGCATGTGTATATCCCTGGACCTGTGTGTGATCATCTAGATTCCCAGGAATATATTTGAGCTTTTGAAAACCTGTATGGGTATTTCATTCCCCAGTGTTTTCACGGAGGTTTTCTGGTTAGTATATTGTTTGCTCTACTGAATATCTATTGTTATAGGTAGCAGTGGCTAAAACATTTGCCTGTAAATGTTTTCCACAAATGCACCTCCAGGTAGCAGCTTCAACACTGGGTGAGTTTCAAGTCAGGCAAAATGAGGACAAGTCATTTGAGCCAGTCTTCCAGGAAGCTTTCAGACAGGTGAAATAATGAAGTCATTCTGTTTCTTTCAGAACCAGGAATGTGGACTTATTTTCATGATTATCATTAAGCTGGGGAGTGAGGACTATGACAAGAGCAAGTCAATATGCCACAAAGCCCACTCTTCTTACTGACACTAAGCCATTTTTCTTGTCTAAGTGCTCCCTGGGTTGTTGCAAGTCCTTGGTTATTTTCCGGAGTTCTGAGAAGTTGATTCTGACAGTTTTTCCTATTTTTTTCATTGCTTTTATGGAAGGGCAAAATTTTGGAGTTCCTTATTCTACCATTTTCACTGACATCACTCTCTGCAGTGTCTTTGCTGAAGAAGGAACAAAGGAGGAGAGACATTATTTATTTATTAGGGCAGAGATAAAACCTGAAAGAAGACTGGGCTATTCTAATATCATAATAACCACTATTTTGTTAGATACCAGGCTAAGTTTTTAAAATACCTTAATTAATTTAATCCTGAGAGCAATCTTGTAAGAAATCACTATCCCCATTTCACAGAAAACTAAATGTTGAGAGGTTATATTCTTTTTTTTTTGAGTTGGAGTCTCACTCCATTGCCTAGACTGGAGTGCAGTGGCACATTCACGGCCACCCCAATGCCGACCTACTGAACTCCAGCAATCCTTCCGCCTCAGCCTTCCATGTAGCCAGAACTATAGGAGCGCGCTACCACATCCGGCTAATTTTTGACTTATTGTAGAGACGAGGTCTCACCAATTTCCCTGGGCTGACCTCAAACCCGTGGGCTCAGGCAATCCACTCACCTCGGCCTCCCAAAGTGCTGGGATTATAGGCTGAGCCACCAAGAGAGGTTATATTCTTAAGGTATTTTGTGATCCCAGATTTTTTGAGTCCAAAGCCTGTGCTTTTAATAACTAGGCTACAATAGTATAGTCTGAAATATCAAATGTCACAGGAACCTGCAAGAAGTGTAAGTCCAACTTAGCAAGATCAAAGGAGATACACAAAGGGACAAAACCTTCTACCACAGGGCATTTTTCCCAGGCTCAATTACCTGATAGGCAGATGAAGATGTGCTAAGGGCCCCAAGGAAGTTACTATATTTTCATTTAATTAGTAAAAATTAAAACTTTATTGGACTTTTAAAATGCTTATTACACAGCTTAGTTTTATCTATCTATCTATCTATCTATCTATCTATCTATCTATCTCATAAGGAGGGCTCAAGTCACATTGGCTTCCTTGTGATGAATTGAATGTGCTGAGCATGTTCCTGCCTTTTAAGGTCTTTGTTGTTTCTGCTTTGCTAGTGATTAGGGCTTAAAAAGTTTTCATCTGGTCCTGGGATTGGATCAAGTTTGAGGCCAAATGGTATGGAGTGGATGCCTTTCTTTTAATACACTGTAGCAATGACCATACTCTGAAAATATGAGCAGTCACTTTAAAAAATGTACACATTGAGGACTTACTAAGGGTTAGGTGCTGTGCTAGGTGATGAGCATACAATGATGAATAAGACATGAGTTGTGGCAAAGAGAATCAGACAGTATATCTGAAGTTTGTGTACATGTGTTATTGGGGGGGTGGGGTGGAAGGGAGAAGATGTGAGGAGATTGAGATAATGAACTAGGCCATGGTTGGATTTGGATGGGTAGAGATGGCAGGGACCAATGGACTTGCTTTATGCATAGAATCTAACAAATTGGTGACATAAAATTCAACTTTTCAGTGTCATTAATAGCAATTGGGTAAATATACTTCTTGCAATTGAATACTCCTCATATCTTGGGTCCAGTTGGAACCCAGTGGTTACAGAAAGGATTTTGTTGAGGAAACTATCTAAGTCTTCTCCTAGTCCCTTTTTCTAGTGATCATCACAAAATATACTCCAAATCTCATCCCTGGGTATAAATTTCCTTAAGGATGTTTCACTGAAAGAAAGAAAGTCACTAGTTTAAGACCAAAAAGAAACTGCTCAAATATAAGGTTTTGCTTTATATAATCATTTCCCTTCTTTTTCTCTTTTTATATAATAATACTATTTTAACAGGAACAAAAGAATTAAATATTCAGCATGAGTTTTGTATAAACAAATAGCTAGGAATCAAATTACGAAAGAAAAACACGGTCATCTATATATCAGATTTAAAAAAACAAATCTGTAATGGTCTTTTTGTTTTGCTGCCTTGTGGCATGGTAACGTAATTTCAGGAAAAAAATAACTGCAGAATGAGAAGAGGTATGCCTTGAAAGTTAATGGTTTACATTCAGAATTATAAAATGATGGCACACATTACTTCAAGGTCAGTTATGGTCGCTGCCTCTCAACCACACACAAAATACTCCAAACTACAAACAAACCCAAGCAGTTTACGAGAAGATGGGTAATGCCTCTTGCTCTGTTCGCTTCCAGGGAAGTGCTTCATGTGTCCCTCCTTTTCCTCCGGGTCATCAGTGCCTGTGCAGATGGCAAGATCCGCATTTACAATTTTCTTAATGGGAACTGTCTGAAAGTGATAAATGCCAGTGGCGGAGGTGATGCTGTGTTGTCTTTCTTTATTCAGGGCAACAGGTGAGTGGTAGGTGTGGAGGTCAGAACTGTGTGAATAATTCTGTTTGGATGATTTTTTTTTTCCTCCTCTGGAGGCCCTGTTTTTGCTGTCAGGAGGAGAGAATGGGCAGTGCTTCCCTCCAATTTCGGCTGAAGTAGTACTAATTATACTAGTGGAGTCTTGTGGGGCATTAAACAAAGCAATCAGGAAGTAATCACAGTTCATTTTGTTCTGGGTACTTGGGGAAGTCATGCAATGGGTACAATATAGCTCTTCTGTAAGGACCACAGTTCTGCCAGTGTTCAGTCCCTGCTTGCTCTTTGATCATGCAGTCAGCTGCCTGAGAGCTCTATCAGCTGTCTCTGATGCCCCACTTCTCATGCAAAGAGACTTATAGGGGGGTGGGGGATGACAGCAGCAGGGGGTCCAGTGCAGGACAGCTGAGCAGAGTTGAAGAAACTGGTACCATGACTGAACTAATTGTATACAGCATTGTACTTGAATGTGAATAGGTTCTATGTGTGAAAATAACATAGAAGTAACTTATAAATTCAACCCCAAGTTCACTTATCACTTAATCTCCCTGAACTATATTGCCTTCTTTTAATAAAACTGAATGAATACTATTTGCCATCTTAAAGGGGACAGGCTGGTAATAAACCTCTAAAAATAGACACTTTTCAGTCATGAAATAGTAAGCGATAAAAAAAAAAAAAAATCAGTTCCAAATTTTTCTTATTCACAACATCCAAAGAGAGATGATTTCTTTTTGGTTTGAGTAAAAATAAGTCTGAAATATCGCAGCATTGTTCACAATAGCAAGAACCTGGAAACAACCATGCTGCCCATCAAAAGAGGACTGGATTAAAAAAATGTGGTACATATACACGATGGAATACTACGCAGCCATAAAAAAGAACAAAATCATGAATTTTGCAGCAACCCTGGATGGAACTAGAGTCTATAATACTGAGTGACCTCACACAGAAACAAAGATCAGAATATCACATGTTCTCACTCATATAATGGACCTTGAACATCCAATGTAATACTATAACAAAATGACTGACGGTACTGGGAAACTATGGGGGGGAGGGGGAGGGGATTAACAGTAGCAAATATCTGTCTGGGGCTGGGAAAACACCTCTTATCAACAGGGTGTCTGAATGAAACGTAATTGTACACCTAACCCTTAACTGTACCCCACAAAACTATAATAAAAATACTGATTAATTATTAAAAAAAAAAAAAAAAAAAAAAAATAAGTCTGAAAGAGATTTCTTTTGGGAATGATTCTCCAAATTCCATTCCAGTGTTTCCAGCCCAAACAAGTTAGTTTTCTAGAGAGTTTAAGCTAACAGTTAAGGTCTTAATATTGCAGCCTTTTGGGGGCAGAAAGGACCCTACCCATAGTATTTCCGTTTCTTGTTTATAGATAATAGGCGATCCATACCCAGAGAAGGGAAAGCAACTTGCTTGGTATAAATGACAGAAACCAGTGGGTTGGGGAGACAGTGCTGGGGAGATTGGGGAGGGCAAGTTCCAAAGCTCTTCTTTGTCTAGGGCACTCAAAGTAGTCCTGGAGTAACAGTGTGAAGGAGTGTGGGGTCTTTGTGTGAGGAGGAGGTCTCCCCATTCCAGAGTTTTCTTCATTCCTATTACAGCAATAGAAACATTGGGTTTGGAAGCTATGTTTTAAAAAAAAAAGAGTGAATTTGATGACATCTATGTGCAGAGTACCTAAGTTCTGGGTATCCTAAATACTTGTCACTCACTCCAGGAAGAGGAATCCAGCTACAAGTATTTTAACTTGAGAAGTGAAGCAATTAGAACATAGGTGTCCCATTCACTTTTTTTCTTTTTCTTTTTTCTTTTTTTTTTAAAGAGAAGAGCTACAGAACTAACGACCTCTACATCATGCTCGATACTTTTCACCACTCCTGACCCTCCAGTCCCCTACACTGACCTGTTTGGTCATTTACCTAGGCACTGCTCCCATGGCAGAAGGATTGGATAGGACAGTAATTGTAATGCATCTTTTCATGGCCTCTATGCTCCTTTTTTGGGCAATCTTGTTTTGGTTCCAGGATGGTGGTCAACACAGAGAGCAGTATTCTCATGTTCCAGTTTCAACCCGTAAAGTGGCAGTATGCCCTGGAAAGAGGTAAACAAAAGAAGAATAAAGAGAAAGATGAGGAAAAGGAAGAAAGCCTAGTGGAAATTTCTTCCAAGTGTAGCACTCGGGTTTACAGCCTGAGAGACTCTGTATCCAGTAAACAAACTGCGACCCAGGAGTTACTACCAAGCAAACCTCATGTTCTCCTGAAGGCAACCAAGTTATCTTCAGGTAAAGGAGTGAAATCCCAGCAAGTTCAGGAATAATCCATGGAGTGGGGAAGGGGGAAGTAGGACTGATTTCTTTCTGGGATATTTTGACTAATGGTTCTCTGAGGATGTAAAGCTTAACCCTTCAGGAAAGTGAGAGCCATTCTCTTTGATCCAAGCAAAGGATTTGTTAGCCAGTTAAAAGGAATCTCCTGAAATTTCAAAGACTAGATCTTCAAACCTTATTTAGAATCTTTGTACAGTAGATAAGACTAACTTTTAATAAGCAACCAATATCCCCCACCCCTAAAATTCAAACATGTATTGCATACCTATTTTTTAGGGCAGGGACAAGAAGTTACTATGAGTAGAAAATGTTCTGTGCAGAATGTATTATCTTTAGACTTCTAAGAGATAATGTGTGTTACTGGAAAATCTTAGGTATACAAAAAGTGTGTGTGTGTGTGTGTGTGTGTAGGTGGGGGTGTGGGCATGGCTAATGCCATTTATAAGACATCCAAAGAATAAATTATGTGTGGGCTAGGATAGCAAGACTACTTCCTTCTACCTGCCCTATATTTGGCATATGAAATTAGATCCACAGATCTACAGAGAACACCAGTAAATCACCCCCAAGCATATGACACTGCAAATAGTCAGTTATCTCTTGAGAAGAAGAAACCAAGCATTTTAGATAATGCTTAAAGCTTGATTATCAGTAGGAAAAGTAGGTCGGAAAAGAGGCAGGATGTGATCTAGATCTTAGACTTGTCAATCTACAAGAATCAAAAGACTCAGGATCCAGTTAAAAGAGTTTATCTGAGCACACAGAGTGAGGATGGCACCTGGGGAACACATAGACACCAAAGAATGGTAATCAGTGCTTGTGGTATGGAGAAAATTGAAGATGGTTTATGTAGACAAAAGCAGAAGAACTGAACAGAAATACATTTTCCGTACAAAGGCTAATAGTAGATACAGGATTTGATTGGCTACTATTGATTACACCCTAGGGGGGCTGTTTAACATTCTGTTGTAAAGAGGTAAAAATCACAGTGGTCTCTGTCTCCAGTGTCATTTAGTCTAGGTTTGAATAAAGAATAGGATGTTTAGTTAATGTACAACATCTCAACACAAAGGTCTGGAAACAATTGTTACGCACCAGAGAAGAAAAACAGCCATGTTACATGACTCAGTTTTCAGGGCTTAAATTTCCTCCTTGGCATAATAAACTTGGAGGGTCCTAAAGTTTTCTTTTCTTTTCAGAGACTCCAGGTGACTATCTGGTTCCATTTGACAATAAATAATTCAGTACTGGATACAAAAAATACAGTTAGATAGAAAGAATAAGTTCCAGTCTTTGACTGTACAATAGGGTGACTATAGTTAACAATCATGTATTAATCTACTTCAAAATATCTAGAAGATATGAAATGTTCCCTACACAAAAAAATAGTATATGTTTGAGATTAAGGATATCCTAATTACACTGATCTGATCATTACACATTGTATATATGCATCAACATATCACATGTACCCCATAAATGTGTACAATTATTATGAATCCATAGAAAACCAATACAGTGATATTTTGGATGAAAATCTGTCCAATTGTTGGCCCTCATTATTGATTGTGTTATTATTATGTCCCCATTATTCAGACCTACTTAAAGTAAATAATGACCACAGTTTCTTCCTCAATGTCAATTTGGCAATTTTAACAGAGACACCTCAAAGTCAAGAAAAGCCAAAACGACCTCGAAGAGATGGCAAGAAGAGAGTTTATCCTGTTCATAAGGAAGCACATGGCACAGATGGTGGGCAAGAGAATTTGGAAGCAAAATCCATGGCAAGAGATGAGATGAACGGTGATGGTACTTTATTCTCAATTAGTGACAAGATCTCCCCCTCTCTCTCCCTCTCCTCTTCCTCTGCCTCTCCCTTAGTTTAGTTTAGCTTAGTTTTCCAGCAGGCCAATACCTTTGCTTACTTGGAGAATTCAGAATCAATACAATGCCTGGCTTCTTCAAAGAGTAACTGGGTTTCCTTAATTGTCCCCTTACTAACTTGAGGCCATAGAGGAAGAATCTTTCTAAGGTCTGAGTTTCCAGTTTTTGGCTCACAGCTTTTCTCCGTTCCTTGCCAGTCAGCTTTCTCACTGCTCGAACTGTTATGTCATCAATCCGATTAATGGGCCTAGCAGAAGAGGGAAGAGGCAGCTGGGGCTGGTTTTAGGGGATTTGATGAGGGAGGAGAGGGATTTGGAGGTGGGTGCTATGGATGTGAGAAAAGGAAGAGAGAAATGGGGACTGGTCTTTTAAGAAGTGTTGCTGGACATCATGACTGGGATGTCCCTTTGTTGTTTTAGAAGAACATTGGTAAAGATTTAAAATGTCTTCCAAATATTTTTGGCAAGTGTAATATAATAGTGTTTCTTTGAAACAAACTCCATGCAGAGACTGGTTTCAAGGAGAGGGCAAAGCAATTAAGTTTTGTAAGAGCTATACTAACAATGGGCATCCATGTAAAGTCCTAGGAGTGAAATTATTGAGCCAAAGGATAAGTACATTTAAAAACTAGAAGGATATTGGCGTAGTTGTCCTTAAAAATGCTCAATTTACACTCCCACTAAACAGTGCATGAAAGCCCCAATGCACCTATGCCAACTCTGAATGTTATATATCACTTTGTAGTTGTTTATACATAAGTAAAAATTTGCATTTTTAAATATTAATGGTTTGATCATTAACAAACTAAATCCAGGACCTTCCTTAGGTATGAAATTGAAGGTTCTCAGGCATCAGTGACTTGGACTTGGGGCCTAAGGGGATAGGCAAATTCTCCTGAATTATGGGCTTGCTGCAGAGCATTGACAGTCAGGGGGAATCTATCAGGTGACAGGGATTTTCCAGGACGTTTTCTTCGAATGACTGATCAGTTCTCTAGTGAGGAGGCTGACTGGCAGGGAACAGAGGGAAGCTGTGAGCCAAACCAGTGGGCAATGGCTAAGTAGACAATGAAAAATCTATAGTATGTTATATTACATATCCTAATGAGAAGCCATATATAGTAACTTGGAAAGAAACCCAATATATTGTCATGTGAAAAAAGACTAATTTGTGAACAGTAAACTCATCACAATTCCTTTTTTATAAGAGAAGAAACATTATGTGTTTTCTGGGTTTAGAAGGAGAATAGGAAAGATTTTGACTTCTTTTTTTTTTTTTTTTTTTTTAGTTGTAGTTTCACTCTGTCACCCAGACTGGAGTGCAGTGGCACGCTCTTGGCCACCACAGCCTCAACCTGCTGGTCTCCAACAAGCTTTCTGCCTCAGCCTTCCAAGTAGCCAGAACTACAGGTGCGCGCTACCACGCCTGGCTAGTTTTTTATTTATTGTAGAGACAAGGTCTTGCCAAGTTGCCTGGGCTGGTCTCAAACCCGAAGGCTCAGGCAATCCACTCGCCTCGGCCTCCCAAAGTGCTGGGATTACAGACTGAGCCACTGAGCCTGGCCGATTTTGACATCTTAATTTCACTCAGTTTTATATGTCCTAAAAAATATTGTTTAATTAAGAAAGTAAAGGTCAGGGAAAAATTTGAAGTTTCATTCTGTCCTAGTGTGTTCACACACAGACATCTTGGGATAAAACCTGTCTGGTCAAGAAAAATTATATGCTTAAACTACTGTTGCATTTTATTTGCTTATGTAGCTTGGGGTATAGATTTTACTTGCTGGGTCAGATTAGGCAAATAACTTGTACTTCTCATGACTCAGTTATTCCTTTTGTAAAATGAAGATAATGCTTTTGGTGTTTCTGTGAGAATTAAAAAGTCCAAATGGGAGTGGCATAATAGATTTACTCATCTGTGAAGACATCTTTGTTAACTTAATGGTCTTAGACACCTTGGAGGTCTTGACCATAAAACAATATGGCAGAAGGAGTCTCTTATTCTGGTGCCACTACTATTGTTCAAAAACATTTTTGGAACTCCTCTTTAAGGATGAAAGTATTTTAACATGTTGTAATATTTTGCCTTACCCAGGGGCAGCATATTCTTTGAAGACAGTTTTGAGTTTGGAAAACATCCAAGATTATTTGTAGTCAAACTTGATTAATAAGGTGGAGATCAAACTCTGCAATACAATTATTGTTGAAAAATATAGTATGTTATTACAAATTTGTAAGGCCTGCTTTCTATGTATCATAAATGAGATGGAAGCTCATTCCCACAGGGAAATTTAAAACATATGTGATGCATTGGAATCATACATATTGCCTTCAAAATATGTACATATGTAGAAGCTAATACACACTTTATGCAATACTAGCATATTCATTAAAACTTGTTTTATTAAATCATTTCTAGTATCATCATTTCTGATACCACTGGGGACATTTACCCACATGATGGCATGCCTGTTGGGCAACAAAGACTTCAGTGTGAACTGCTTGAACTTTCATGCATATGTACTTAATATATAGAGGGTTAGAATTGCTTGAACTTTCATGCATATGTACTTAATATGCAGAGGGTGCCAAAAAAATGTATACTTGCTTTAAGAAAGGAAAAAGCTGTGTTAAAATTGTAGTATTCAATAAGATGAACATGTCACATTTGACATCTGCAATTACAAGAGGTGCTCTTAGTGGTTACCATCAGTGTTCAGAGGCTTCTGATTATGGTGAATAAGGCTTAAAATGTGTATGCAATTTTTGACATCCCGGTATTTCAAGAAAGTCAGGTGTGATGGCTTGTTCCTTTAATCTCAGCTACTTGGGAGGCTGAGGTGGGAGCATCACTTGAGGCTAGGAGTTCAAGGCCAGCCTGGGCAACATAGTGAGACCCTGGTCCTAAAAAAAAAAAAAAAAAAAAATCTGGCTGGTTGCGGTGGCTCACGCCTATAATCCCAGCACTTTGGGAGGTCGAGATGGGAGGATTGCCTGAGTCCATGGGTTTGAGACCAGTCTGGGCAACTTGGTGAGACTTCATCTCTACAATAAATGAAAAACTCAGCTGGGCATGGTGGCTTATGCTTGTAGTTCCAACTACTTGGAAGGCTGAAGCAGAAGGATCACCTGACCCCAGCAGGTTGAGGCTGTGATGGCTGTGAGCGTGCCACTGCACTCCAGCCTGGGCAATAGAGTGAGACTCCTACAAAAAAAAAAAAAAAAAATTAAAAACATTTTTTTTCATGGAATGCTGATTTGTTTTTGTTTTCTTTTATTGAAAAAAAACAGATGATGTGAAGAAAGTACAAAAAGGAGGACAACTGGAAACTCCTGGAGAATTGGTCAGTTGTCAAAAGAAAGAGTCCTGGAAGATCCCTATGTCACCTGATCGATTCCTCCTGACTGTCAATGCTCTGCAGCAAGCCCATAATTCAGGGGAATTTGCCTATCCCCATAGACCCCAAAGCCAAGTCATTGATGCCTGGGGACCTTCAATTTCATACCCAAGAAAGGTCCTGAATTTCAAAGGAAAACCGGTCCAACCTGCAGTCAATCGGTTGAGATTCAGCCATCCTCCCATAGACGTGAAACAAACTAATATTCCCCTTGAAATCCAGAAACTGCAGCCCAACTTGAAGAACTCTTTGCACAGTCTCAGAGTCCAGTCCACCATACCCCAGCCCATGATTATCTGCTCCAGGCTCTCTCGCAGCTTAAAAGGTGAAGACCAAGTGACCAATTCAATTGAGGGGACAGTGTGCAGTATGGGTTCCCTGACCAGTATGCAGGTCATTAAACCAAACCGAATGCTAGCTCCACAAGTGTGCACTGCCATCCTGTCCCCCAAGAAAGAACGGCTTCACTTCTACACGGCCCTCGATCCCCTTAGAATGAACACGGAGTTCATGCTGTTAACAGTGAAGGAAGAGAAAGAATGTGGGGAAGCCAAGATGGAGGCATATCTGGCTAGGGAATCCACTGGAGTGGCTGATCCAGCAAAAGCCAGAAAAGCTGCATGGATCAGGAAGATCAAAGGCCTTCCTATTGATAAGTTCATGAAACAAGGGAAAACAGCGGCTCCTGAACTTGGACAAAGTGTGTTTATCTAAACCAGCCTTGGGAAATTGCAATATCTCACAATAAACAGAAAGCCAAGAGGATGCTGGTGTTTGGCCACTTTTTTTTTTAACTTTTTCCCCACTGGTAATCAACACGGGAATTCCTAATGATCTTCCTATGAGCCAAAAAAATGATATCATCAAAGTAAGAAAATAGGAGGAGGCTGGGAGAGATTGGCATCTGTATTCTCAGTGAAAACCATTCATCAAGACTTAGGAAAGCCCAGTTTCTTTGATGGGGGATGGAGGGGGTGATCATTGGAGATTAGACACCACTTACCAATTTAGTGCTATTACTTCTTCCAGTGAATGAAGTAATGGGATTCTATCAGGGCAATGCACTGGACTTTTCTGGTATTTTTGCATAGAAGCCTGATGAATTTCACTGAGTTTAGATAAGAATCTAAGAAGAAAAGTCCTCGAAGGGGTTGAACTATTGCATTTGGGAACATTTTGTGCACTTCTCTCAGGGCTAACACAAATGGAAGAGAATTAGCATATTTATTCTATCTACAAAGAGGGTCACTAATAACAAAAGTGTTGAGGTTTCTACTTAAACCTTTGGAAGATAATGTCAGGGACCAGGCAGGTAATTTAGAAGAGTGCAGCCCACCACTGGGGCTATGGCCCACTGGAGAGCTCAAGCCCCATACAAAAGGATAGTGCACTAATAAGTGGCTCAGGAAGGCCAGATTTTTTGCATTTTTAAGAAAAGCCAGAACTTCAGATTTTTCTGTGAAATGCCCTAGATTTTACAGGGTGATAATGAATTAAAATAGAATGCATAACAAAAACAACAAAAAACTCCACAAAACCCCACAACACTGGGTAGGCCACTGAAAACATGCCACGAGCAGGCAGGTTGCACTGGCCCCCTGAAATCACAGCATCAGATTTTCACCTTCATGAATATAATTGCTTGGCCAAGCTTTCTCTTCCCTAAGAAATGTGGAAGTTGCTGCGCATGGTGGCTCATGTCTGTAATCCCAGCACTTTGGGAGGCAGAGGTGAGTGGATTGCCTTAGCCCAGGGGTTCGAGACCAACCTGGGCAACTTGGCAAGACCGTGTCTCTACAATAAATCAAAAAAATTAGCTGGGCGTGGTGGTGTGCACCTGTGGTTTGTTACTTGGGAGGCTGAAGTGGAAGGATTGTCTGAGCTCAACAGGTTGAGGCAGTGGTGGCCATGAGAATGCCACTGCACTCCAGCCTGGGGAGAGAGTGAGACTCTGACTCAAAACAAAACAACAAAAAAAAGATTTCTCCTTTATTATCAGGAGATTAGTTTTAAAATAGCACTGGCAAACAGTCGCATCAAATTTGTGACTTTAATGGAGAGAAACCCTTCAATTAAGGAAATGTATGAACATGTATTATTTCACAAAACTTCCAACAGCAGTCTGACTAGGCTGTGCAGGTAGAATACTGTTATCTAAATTTCAAAGATGACCTAATTCCCTGAATTTCATGTCCTTTGTCCAGACAAAATTCACACTATAAGCAGCTGAACATAAATCAGTAACAATGTATCCTATTTACTAGATACACTGAAGGGTATCTAGTAAATGGGATACATACTGAAATCATTATCACCCTCACTTTACAATTGAGGAAAGGAGTACATAAAAGTTGGTTATATCATTGGTAATAGAGGACTCAGGAGCCCAAACTCCAGGGCACACAGCCTCAACTTCTATTCCTCACTGTTCCCTGACATCTAAGGTTATTTTCCTCCCATAATAATTCCCTCCATCCTTACAGTTCTCTTGCCTTGTTCTTCTTAATAACGTTTTACTCCTTCTCAAGAGCACATTTATTTTTTTAATTGCTTCTAAAATTTAAAGTACAAAATAATACTGCACAGGAATACAAGATTTTGTAAAATATTCAAAGAAAATTAAATTATGGAATCCTAAAGCTCCGTCTCTTGCACTCAGGGCATCGATGCTGGGTGGAATAACTTCAGAGCTTGCACCCTGTAGATAGCAAACATTTACCAGTAACAATCACGAATCTGTCCCTTGAGAGCAGACAGTGGCGCAAGGTTCCTTTCCCAGCCCGTATTTACTCCTTACTTGGGCCAAACAGGCCCCACCGAGTCCGCGCTCCCGGCGCCCCTCCCCGTATAGCCCCGCCCCCTTCGGTAGCCCCACCCCTGGGTCGCTCCGCCTCCGGGATTGCTCCTCCCTCAAGGCTCCTCAAAGCGGAAGTGGGGTCGGGCTAAGGCCTATCCATTGGCTCCTTCTGGCCCGTGGTGACGGGGTAGCGTCAGTTCCGGTGCCGATCCGACGGCTGCCGCGCTGACGTGGCTCCCGGAAGTGGGGCTGGCGCACGGCCGCCATGTTGCAGCAGGTGAGGGGCTGAGGGAGAAGAGGGAGGCGGTGCCTGGTGGGCCTCCCCTGCGGGGTCCGTTATCTAAATCGAGCGTCTCGGGGCTGTGTGTCCACGTACTCGCCCACCACTCGAACTCGAGGAGTAGCGGGGCGAGCGGGGGTGGAGGGCAGTGGACTGTTGTCCGAGGAGGGCGGCTGGGCGCTCCGAGGTCTTTGGTGGAGGCACGACCCAGGTGGCGCTGAGCAGGGACAGCTTGGACCTGTGAAGAAGCCCCTTGTTAACAATCCCTCGCTGGGCCGCGAAAACGCTTAGGGGTGGTCTCTAAGCCTTCAGTGCGTGGGCGGGGCTGAGGGACAGCGGCCTGCCGGCATCTCTTAGCTTCTTGCCAGCGGGACTCCTGAGGGGTGCCCTGCGATCTTACAGGAATAGGCGACACCGCCAGAACATTGCTGTCACCAAACCAACTTTGATGGTGATTGTCACGTTTGAGCCCTTAATTTCATACAGTCCACTGGTTTGCCACTGGAGATTAGTAAGATTAACAATCTCTTCCTTTTAGAAAAAATTAGTTTATAATCACTTCAGATTGTCTTAAATTTTTTTTTATTTCGGTTCACAATTTACTGAGGGATTACTATGGTCCAAGCACTGTTTAGACCCAGCGAGGAGGCCGTGAACAGCACAGAGTTTTCTTATTCTGAATTGTCAGGTTAGGGGTGTAGGTTCTAGGGGATGGGGTGGAATGGGGAGACAAGATGAGTTACATAACTAAACATATTTTTAGATAATAATAGCAATATAATTATAATAATAATAATAGTATCTGAGGATAGGACAACTAGTGATCTGAAAGGACCACTTATGAGAAGGTGACTTGAGTGGAGAAAAATGCAATGATGTTTAAATTGAGTTGTCTGAACCTGTACCCAGGCTGATTGAAGTTGAAGAAACACACAACCGTGCTGACTGTTCCCACTTTATACGTTTCTGACCATGAACCTCAAGTGAGTCATAAGTGACGCCAGGCAATCTCTCTACATTTCTATCGTCACCTCACTCTCCTGCCTTCCTGGATAATTATTAAAACTTCTCTCAGACCTTCAACATTTCTTTCCTTATTCTCTCTCCGCTAATAATATTGCTTGTTTCACTGAGAAATGGATGCCATCAAAAGAGTTTTCACACTACTTGCGTCTTTACCCATAATCTCTTATATTTTGTTACATTTGGACTATCTTGTGCTCCTTTTTTTTTTTTTTTTTTTTTTTTGGCCATTTCTTCTACTTGTGCTCTGGTTTCCATCTCCTCTTGCCTATGGAAGGCATTGTTCCAGCAATTCTTATTCTTGTGTTGTCAGTGTTTTTTTTTAAGAATTTGCTCATATCACATATAACCATTCTTTAATTTTTTCCGCTCTTAAAAAAAACTTGATGGCATGTGCCATTCCGGCTGTCATCCTTTGTTTCTTGAGACCCTGTATACTTGTCTCTAATTCTTCGATTGTCTCTTGTATCTATTTTAGCTAGCCTTTCTTCCTCTCCCCTGATGTACTGGAACTGTTCTTACTGAGGTCACTGATGACCTGTTAAAAATACAGTTGTCACGTTTTGGTTTTCATCTTGTGAGCAACATTTGACATAGTTGATCAGATCCTCCTCCTGGAAGCACTTAGCTTGGTTTCCAGCATCACTCCCCTTCCTAGCTCATCTCCTACTCCTTGGTATTTCTTCACGCCCTACTGCCTATTCTTTTTCTTCTTTCTAACCTCTAAATATTGGAGTGTCAAGAGTCTGTCTTTGGCATCTTTAACCTTTTAGCTTTTTAGGAAAAAAACTTTGGAAATTTCCTTGACTTCTTATCTTTTACTCCCCTTGCCCCCTGCCCCTCCATCAGCAAATCCTGTCAGCTCTACCTTTAAATGTTTGTGAAGTCTACTTTTCACCACCTCCACTGCATCTACTCTGGACCTTTATTTCTTGCCCCCACAGTCAAAATAGTCTCATAACTAGTCTCCTAGCTTTGTGCCTTTGTCTCAAGGAGATTGAGATTTTTACTAACAGTAGCCAGAATTTTTTTTTTAACGGGTGAGTCTGAACATACCAGTCTTATACTCAGAATACTCTAATGGTTTCCCCTCTGAAATTTTTTGAAGTTTGCATACTATCGTCTTAACCTTAAAATGTCTAAAGTCAAACTCCTGATTTTGCCCTGAAATCTGTTGGGCTGGCTGGGCTCGGTGGCTCAGCCTGTAATCCCAGCGCTTTGGGAGGCCGAGGTGAGTGGATTACTTGAACCCGCGGGTTCGAGACCTGCCTGGGCAACTTGATGAGACCTCATCTCAACAATAAATCAAAAAGTTAGCTGGGCGTGGTAGCGCGCGCCTGTAGTTCCAGCTACTTGGAAGGCTGAGGCGGAAGGATCGTCAGAGCCCAGCAGGTTGAGGCTGCAGTGACCGGGGGCAGCCACTGCCCTCCAGTCTGGGCGACAGAGTGAGACTCCAACTCAAAAAAAAAAAAAAAAGAAAGAAATCTGTTGGGCCCATAGTTTTCCCTATCTTAGTACATGCATACAAGAGTGTAGAACCATTGTCGTTTTTTTTCCTCTTGACTGAACCACTTGTAACAGTACTTAGTAGGCACTTAATAGGCACTTAATATTTACTGAATAAATGAGAAGTCAATCTTTCTAAGAGCACGGTGAAAGAAGAGTATTCTAGGTAGTATGAACCATAAATATAAAAGGATCTGATAAGGCACACATTTGATGTGTTTAAGGAACTAAAAAGAAGGCCAACCTAGCAGGAGCTTAGGTACTATATAAGTTTCTTATTACTGCTATAACAAATTACTGTGAACTGAGTGACTTCAAACACATTCAAAGTTCTGATGGTCAGAAGTCCAAAATAAGTCTCAAGATTCTAAAAATCAAGGTGTGGGCAGGGTTTTGTTCCTTCTGGAGGCCCTAGGGAGAAATCTTATTTCCTTGTCTATTCCAATTTCTAGTATCTCTTGGTTCCTTCCTCCATCTTCAAAGCCATCAGTATAACAGATTCAAATGTCTCTCTCTGATCTTCATTTTTCTTGTTTCATCATCTTCTCTGACACTGACCCTCCTGTGTCTCTATTATAAGGACCATTGTGATTACATCATTGGGCCCACCAGGATGAAAGGCCCACCTTTCTTAATTACATCTGTGAAATTCTTTTTTGCCAGTAAATTTACTTAGTCACAGGTTCCAGGGATTACAACCTAGACATCTTTGGCAGGGGTGAGAGGAGGCATTATTCAGTTTACTATAATTAATGAAGGGAGAGTGACCTGAGATAAGCTTTTAGGGGTGGGCAGGGATCAGATCATGATAGGTCATGATAAGGAGCCTGTTTTTCAGTCAAAGTGATGTGGGTTTTAAGTAGGGAGATGATATGATCTGATGTGAAAAGGTCTCCTTGGCTGCTGCATGGAGGTTGTACTGTTGGGATCAAGATTAGAAGGCCTTTGCTTTTTATTCATGACATCATAATGTGGGTCTCATTCATGTGATGGTGATGATCATCTGGGAGCCTTAAAAAAAAAAAATCCAGATTCCTGGATCACACCTAGAGCAATTACATCTGAATCCCTAGGGGCAGAACCCAGATAATTGCTTTATTTATCGGTTTATCTATTTATCTGTTTATTTATTTATTTATTTACTCATTTATTTATTTATTTAAAACATTGCAGTTTTAACCACTGGAACCACTGGTCCCACTGGTCTCATAACTCTGAATCCATTTTACCTTTCTAGCCTTGGCTTCTGCTTTGCTTCCCTCTACCCCTCACCTACTGCTTGACCTTCTCCTATATAAACTTCTTGTATTCCTATATCTGGGTCTTGAAAATAGGCCTAGTCTTGGGACTACAGTGAGCAGGAGTCTTATGTGAACTGTCAAGGCCCAGCTGATAAACTCTCTTCCAGGAAACTTTTCCAGTTTCCTCTAGTAAAAATGATTCAATTCCTTTCCTGGCTCCCATTTGCACTTATATTTCTCTCAGCAGCAATTGCTGTCTACCATGTAGTATTGGTAATTTCTTTCTTTGCTTATTTACTCATCCTCTCAATAAATACCATACTGCTTGACTGAATGCTCTGCTAGATACTGGGACTTATTGTAGTGCAAAGACAGTCCTTGTCCTTTAGTAGCTTAGTTTGTGTGGCTGTAGAAGGGGGTAGACTTGTAATAAGAATACCCTAAGATACAGCAACCTCTTTCAGGTCCCTTCCCACTGTGGGAGCTTTTCTGTCTTAATAAATCCTATTAAAAAAAAAAAAGACAATTGTTCAAATGGGGATTTGTCCAAGTACTGTGGGAATGTGAGAGATTCAGATAAAATATCTCATCTATTTCAGTATTTGAGCTGAAACTTGAAGGATGATTTGGTATTTGCCTGGTGGTGAGCTAGGTCGGGAATGGAAAAGGGAAAAGATGGGAGAAAGAACCTGGTGTTCTCAGAGACCATGTAGTAACTGTTTCTGCAGTGTCTGGTGGAGGGAGTGTCAGAGGCAAGTAGCGGGGATCAGATCATGTGATCTCCTATGTTGTATGTGAAAGAGTTAAATTTCTGTACATACAGGGGTGCTATTGAAAAATTTGAGTGGAAGAGTGACATGGTATGATTTCTGTGTTGGGATGACTGCTCTGGGCAATGCAGAGGAGAGGCTGGAGTAGAGAGGAGGTGAGGTTGTAGAAATAAAGGCATGGAGGCTGGTGAGTGGCAGTAGGAGAGACAAAGGAGCAGATCCTAGTGGTTGAGGCTGAGGGGGACTTGCAGTGAGTTGAGATGTGAACCACTCTTAGAAGCCTAAGGTTATGAAAGGAAGGAATGCTTTGGGAAAGTGGAAGATTGAAGGGGAGATTTCAGGATCAGGGTTTAAAAACTTTTGCCCAATAAATGGCCAGTGAAGCAATTTGCATGCTGATTAGAAGGATTCAATAGAAATACTTGAAGGTATGAGAAAGTATAAATGAAGGGGAAATGATGAAACAAAGCCCCTGAAGAGGCATGAAAAGAAGGGATTCCTAGCACAAATAATTGGGATAGGCTTGGGTAAGAAGAAATAGTTGTGAGAAGGGATAGTGGAAACAAGGATGCAGTCAGATGGTTTTGTTAAGGAGACAAAAACATCAGGTTTATCCCTGATAGTCTGAGCTTTCTCTGTGACTTGAGAGAGAGCAGCTGAGAATAGATATAAGTTTGCAGAAGCATCATCTGCACCCCAGTGTTTCTCGGAGGGCTTAGCAGCCTGGGGGTAGGGATAGAGACAGCTGGATACTTGGATTAACCTTTGGGATTCTTGCCAGATGATTGGGGTGGGGATTGAGGATTTGTATGTGCCTTTTTTTTAGCTTTTTAATTCCTGATGTTGTGACCGTGTTAGATTTATCTTTGCTTAGATGAATATTCAGTTTTGCATGTAGTGGGCCTGTAAGTACTGAATTTCATTTTGCTTCATGAATATTTGATTTTCCTACTAGGACAGTAATGATGACACTGAAGATGTTTCACTGTTTGATGCAGAAGAGGAGACAACTAATAGACAAAAAAAACCCAAAATCAGGTAGGAGGGTAAATTATACAAGTTATGTTAGTATCTTTTGCTGTTCTGTCCATAGATTGGTGCCAACCAATGGCAATCCAGGCAGAATGCTTGTGATGTGCTTGTGAATATTGTATATTGTTAGTTTGATATGTAATTTGAGACATAGATGACATTTCAGATTTTCTTGGAAATAATTGGCATGTGGAATTTTACTTGGTACTGAGTTTTTAAATCAACAAATCTAATTATTCGAACACTCGTGTTGGTATTGTTTTCCAAGAATACCATTTCTTTATGTGATTTTTATTGATATATGAGGCCTGACAATTAAGTTCGTGAACTCATCCTAGACAAAGTGCTATAAACCTCTTTGCTGAATATCACCGTGGTCACCTTCGAAGTACTCCTCTTGGAAAGCTATGCATCGACACCAGCACCTAGTCCACCTGTCAGAGCAGTTTTGGAACTCTTTTTCTTGAATGGTCATCAGAGCTGTTGTCATGAGGCTGTCGGTGTTTGAATTAGAGCAACAAAGTTTCTTGTTAAACTTGGCAAGACTGGAAGTGAAATCAGAAACATGTTAGTCCAAGTTTAGGGAGATATGCCATGAAGAAAATGGCAGCAAACAAATGGATTAAATGTTTTCCTGAAGGGAGAGAAAGGTCACTGATGAAAAGAGGTCAAGATAGCCAGTAATAAGCAGAACTGACAAAAACACTGCAAAAATTTGTTGAATTGTGCTTCAAAATTGTTGGTTGACTGTGAGAAGCATAGCAAACCAAATAAACATTGATAGAGAAATAGTTAGGGAAATCTTAACTGAAAATTTTGTCATGAGAAAGGTGTATGCAGAAATGGTCCTGAGGGAGCTCTTGCATCATGACAGTGTACCAGTTCACATAGTACTGTCTGTGAGGAAGTTTTTAGCTAGTAAACTGTATTGGAGCACGCTCCCTACTTACCTGATCTGACCCCTAATGACTTTTTTCTTTACTCAAAGATAAAGGAAATATTGAAAGGAAGACATTTTGGTAATAGTCAAGACATCAAGGGTAATATGACGACAGCTCTGATGGCCATTCTAGAAAAAGAGCTCCAAAATTGCTGTGATGGGTGGACTAGGTGCTGGCATCAGTGCATAGCTTCCCAAGGGGAGTTCTTCGAAGGTGACCATAGTGATATTCAGCAAAGAGGTATGTAGCACTTTTTCTAGGACAAGTTTGTGAACTTAACTGTCACACCCTGTATTACATTTTGATTTATTTGGCAAATTTCAGAATTATATCTTTTGTATAAATAGCATGAAACTATCAAGCCAAAAATTTTTCTGTCTAAATTTAGTTCTAAGGAAATTAACTTGATGAAAGCAAATTCTGCCTGAACCTTGAAAGTATTGTGCTAAGTGAAAGATGCCAGTCACAAAAGACCACATATTGTATTATTTCATTTATATGAAATGTCCAGAATAGGCGCATCTATAGAGAGAAAAATAGATTAGTGGTTGCTAGGGCAAAGGGGCTTGGAGGTAAATAGGGAGTGATTGCCATTGGGTGCAGAGTTTCTTTTTGGGGTAATGAGAAGTTGTAACATTGATTGTGGTAATGATTGTATAACTCTGTGAATGTACCAAAAACCATTGGATTGTTTACTTCAGGTGAATTGTATGGTGCGTGATTTGTATCTCAATAAAGTTATTAAAAATCAAGAGCCCAGCAGGTTGAGGCTGCGGTGACCGGGAGCAGCCACTGTACTCCAGTCTGGGTGACAGAGTGAGACTCCAGCTCAAAAAAAAAAAAAAAAAAAAAAAAAAAAAATCAAGAACCAAACAAACTCGATTGATGGTAACTTTGTTAATTCCTGAAGTAATTTCTGAGGGCATAGGAAATTTTTTTGGCATGATTTGAAAATAGGATTCAAATCCTAAATATATAGTTTCCTTGTTTCTCTAAGCTAGGTAAAATTTCTCATTATATCTTTTGTGAAATTTTATATTCAATAAGGTATTAACGTCATGTTTACATGGTGTAGTTTCTGTGACTACAGGACCTAGTCAAATAGTAGAACTTGAGAAAAAAGAGAGGCCGAAGGTTTGCTTCCTTCTCATGTTATCTCTTTTGTTTTGACAAAACTTGGTTATACTGTTGTTAAAACATTTTTCATCTACATCTGCTAGTACCTGTGGCAAAATGTAATTGAATTTCTTTTATTTTATTTTGGTTTTCAGACACCCAGTGGCATCATTTTTCCATTTATTCTTTCGAGTCAGTGCACTTGTAGTCTATCTTCTCTGTGAATTGCTCAGCAGCAGCTTTATTGCCTGTATGGTGACAATTATCTTGTTGCTGTCATGTGACTTTTGGGCTGTGAAGGTAGGTTTTATTGTTTTTATTTTAAAATTGTATTTAATGAGAGATTGAATGGTGTATAAACAGTATGAAATAAGAGACTTAGTGTTTTGGATTGGTATTTTTTTTTTTGTTAATTCAGGCCTCATCTGCCTTAAGTTGGTAGATATATCACATCCCATGTAGTGTAACTAGCAACCATACACCCTACATATTGCTTCTAATCCATACCACTGATTTTACTTCAGGATCACCTTCAAGTGTAAGTACCTATAGAAGCCTTTGCAAAAATGTATTAGCAGTGTATCTTAACCAGGGGACAAGTTTGTTCCCCATGGGACTTTTGTCAATGTCCAAAGACATTTTTGGTTGTCACAACTGGGGGCTGGGGCTGTGAGATTGACATCCAGTGGGTAGAGGCCATGTATCCTGCTAAACATTTTAAGATGCACAGGACAGCCCCCCGCAACAAAGTATTAGCCCCAAATGTCAGTTGTGTCAGGGTTGAGAAATCCTGCTGTAGAGAATAGAAAGGAGTGCAAGAAATGGTTTCAAACTCATAGGCAATAATGGGTAAAGGGATAGGTGGATAAATAGATGAATATATGATAAATTAACTATAATAAAATAGTAAATGTAGACTCTAGGTGGCAGATATTTGGGTATTCATTGTAAAATTTAACTTTTCTGTGTGTTTAAATATATTCATAGTAAAATGATGGGCGATGAGGGGAAAAACCAAAGGCTAATTTTGGAATTTCAGATATGTATGCTGAGTAAAAACCCAGTAAGATATTACAAGTCTATTCATATCCACCAACCCAGCCATTTTTAGATCTTTTAATTGTTACTGATATCAGAAGTAGTTAGCTTGGTGATGGTGTTTCTGTAGACCACATAATACTGAGAAGGAAGATTTCAAAGGTCTGTTGTCTTTTGTCCTCTCTTCTTTGGCTGATATTTCTTTGTTTTTCTTTTGTTGCTTTATATTGTAAAATGTTTACTGTATTTTAATCATAGTTTTGTTTTGACGAGCGCTTCTTTTTGTTGTTTTTGTTGTTAATACAACTTATATTCTGCCAAATAGAACATGCCTTCAGTCTGTTCTTCCTGGTAATCTCCAAACTCTTATAATTAAATGTTTCTGGGCTTAGGGCTTTAAAAAATGTGACCAAAATAGTATATTTTCTAATAATTCTTTTTTTGGCAAGCACTTAAAAAAGTCACCTTTTTTATCCTTGGCAAGAATACTTATAGATATCCAAACTATTGAGATATGAAGCAAAATTAAGTTAAGAATAACAAAATTATTGAATGGATTTGAGAAGGGTAGGCAGGGTTCTGATTTTTGATATTGTATTTTGATACATCTAGCTAAAACAGATGTATCAAAATTACTGAAAAGCTCAATGCAATTGTCAAAATAAATCTCATTATTTGAAAAACGCAATCTTTGTCTAATTTCTAGTAAATATTAATGAAGACCAAGAAGCGGTAGAGAAGGGAGGATAGTTTAAAAAGTATGTTTAAATGTTATTCCTTACATGGGGTTTTCTGTTTTATTTTTACTCTGATAAATAAAATAAAAAGGTTAAATAATGGTTTTAAAAATTTAATAGCAGCTATTAGTAAAATTTAAAACAAATTGTATATTTTCTACAACTGGAGAAGATAGGAGCAACTAAAACAGTTCATATAGCAAATGCAGGAAAACAAAGCAAGGATCAGGGATGCTTAAATATCACAAAGCCTATGTACAAGGAGATGGAAGTAATAACAAATTCATTGTAACAGTATATGTAACTTGATTAAACTCAATTTTTTTTTGAGTTGTAGTCTCAATTTTTCACCCAGGCTGGAGTGCAGTGGTACACTCACAGCTACCCCAGCATCAACCTGCTGGGTTCCAGTGATCCTTCCCCCTCAGCCTTCCAAGTAGCTGGAAACACAGGTGTGTGCTACCACACCCAGCTAATTTTTAAAAATTTTTATTGTAGTGACTAGGTCTTGCCAAGTTGCCCAGGCTGTCTTGAACTTGTGGGCTCAGGCTATCCTCTTGCTTCGGCCTCCCAAAGTGCTGGGCTTACAGACTGAGCCACCGAGCCTAATCTAAACTCAATTTTTAATGATAAGAATTCTAAGATTGAGATCTAATTAAGGTAGTGACATTAGAAAAAATAAATGAAGGCAAAGATATTATTAGATGAAATAGGAATCAGAAAAAGAAAACAGAAGGCCATATTATGAATCACAGTGAAGATCATTCATAGAATAAAATTATGTCAACCTATGTATAGTGAAAAACATTAGAAATACTAGAAGATGGAAGAAGTGCTATAATAGGAGTTCAACAAACCACTATCTTTGACGAATCACAGTACCAAAAAATAAATACGGTCTAAAGAATCTGAGGGAAATATTTTAAAAGATCAATTTAATAGCAGTATTTGGAACTCTGTATGTACAGAGATAATACCTTTTTGTTCAGTGGTTGTGGCACATTTATGAAAATAGATTAACTATTACTATGAAGAAAATGCAAGTAAATTGCCCAAAGCGCCTACATTTTCTAGGCCAATGAAACAAAGCTAGAAATTAATAAAAAGTGGTTGTCAAAATTGGAATTCTTTTTAAAAAGCCAGTTGGCTAAATATCTTTGTTTAGGAAGGAAACAAAAACTGTAAATACAGATTATTTATACCTTAATGACAATGATCATCTGTAATCAAATTTTCAGAATGTGTCTAAAACTGAATTCATAAGGAAAACAATAGACTGAAGACTTTTATTATTAGACAGGAAAGAGTGAAATAATGGACTACTCAGGTTCAGAAGTTTTAAAAACAAAAGCTGTAAGCCAGAGAAAAATTAGGAAAATAAACTAATAAAGATGAAAACAGAAAGTAAAGAATTCGAAAATAGAAACTTGAAAGAGTTTGAAAATATTCTAAGAACGTTCTTTGAAAATGCCAGTAAAATAGACCTCTGACTGTTCTCAGTTTCCTTTGCCAGCTTTTCTCTTATTTAGCTTTTAAATGTTAGCATTTCTATAATAGGAATTTTAGTTTCAGAGGCTCTTCCTTTTCTTTTCCTGTATTCCTTTCCAAGTACTGCCATCTGTGCTTCTGGTTTTGATTGTTGATTTGTAAGTTGTGTTGTCTTTCAGATTTCTGTTTCCATCTAGGTTTGTCCTCATAGTTCCAGACCTCTCTATCTGTCTTCTTGACATTTTTACATGGCCATCCTGAAGGCACTTCAAATTCAACATGTGTAAAATACTATTTGTCTTTCTTTAGGTCTAATTGCTCCTCCGACCATCAGTATTCCTTTTTACAAGGCCTGGCATCACTATTTTTAAAAAACTTTTTTAAACTTGAGCAAACCAGAAATGTGTGAGTCGCCTCTGTCCTACCTCATATCCAGTTAATCACCAAGTTCCATAAATCCATAGATTTTGCTTTCTTCTTTAGGGCTTCTGTGCCTGTTGCTCTTTCTGGAATGCTCTTCTTGCTCCCCTATTACCTTAAATACAGGGATTCCTAACTTTTTTTGTGTGCCACGGTCTCCTTTCACAGTCTCTTGAAGCTATGAATAATGCTGTTAAATACATAAAAGAAAATATGTAAGGTTACAAAGGAAGTCACTTATATTGAAATATAATTTAAAAGTATTAAGGTAAATTTCTGATTTAGTTGTGTGTACAGTAGTTTCCCCCCATATTTGAGGTTTCACTTTACATTTTTCTGGTTATCCACAGAAAAGTGAAAATATTTTGATAGCAAGAGAGAGAGACCATATCTACATAATTTTACTGTTGCATGTCATAATTGTTCTACTTTATTATTAGCTATTATTCATTTTTTGCTGTGCCTAATTCACAAATTAAACTTGATCATAAGTATGCATGTATGGGGGAAAATAGCATATATAGGGTTCAGTACTCTTCATGGTTTCAGACAGTCACTGGAGGTCTTGGAATGTATCTCCCACAGATAAGTGGGGAGGAGCTACTGTACTTCTTAAGATACAGTAGCAGGTCTAATAGCTACTTTCAAAGCAGTAATTATTATAAACAATATTTTGAGATAACTGCAAGTATAGTACAAAATGATAAATATTTGTGGTTTTTATTGTGACAGAGTCATGGGCACTTGTTAATTTTACCTACAGTCAGATTTGTTGTATGCATTTGTAATTTAAATTTAAAGATTAGCTATATTTCAGCCAGAGGTTAGTGAAAATAGAGATAATATTTTTCCACCATCTAATTTCACAGAACTCTGAATCTATTTGTGGACATCCTTAATTAAATATCCCCTGTATTATTGATTCCTATTTATCCTTTAAATTTCATGCCAGATGTTCCTCAGAAAGTCATTCTCAGATACCTAGACTAGATCAAATTTCCCTGTTATATTCTTCAGGCATCCCACACTTTTCCCTCATAGAACTTATTGGGACATTTATGCTTTGGTTGTCTGCCTTTCTTCCCCACACTTGGAGTTCCATCAGGACAAGGATGATACTGTTACTATTCAGGATGAAAAACACTACCCCAAATCAGATGGCATGTCAGTACTAAACCAGATGGCCTTGGAAAACTTAATACATTTTTTTCTGTCTAGTTCAGACCATAAACAAGGCATATACAGAACAGAATTTTCTGAGAAAGGGCATTGGATTATAGTTTAAACAGTATATTAAGCTGTCTACTAGGGATTGCTGATAGAATATTTCTTTGTTGCCTTGATGGGTATCTCCATGAACGCATCAGTGTCCATTTTATTACTAGCATGTAATAGGTACTCAGTAAGTATTTTTTTAATAAATAAATATTAGAAAAGCCATCTAAGTAATTTGTTACATTAGTAAGTAGGAAAGTAGCTTGGTACATTTAAGGGACTGAAGGCCAGTGTCTGTAACCATTTTTAGGACTATATAGTTGTAAAATATATGTAGCTGTAGTCAGAATATAAGGTAGGTCACAGTAGCCAAAGATCAAAGGGCTTAGGAAAAAAATAGGGAATTGGAGAAAGGACAAATGTGCTTGTGAGGAAAAAAGAGGAGGTAATGTTTTTGAATGGACTTGTTGCTTACTCTGTCACTTCTAGTCCTGCTGTTGCCATTTTTACTTAATCTTTTAGGCAGACCAGATACATAGTGGTATTTGTTAACTGAATATTATAGAAGTAAAGCTAAAGATTTTTGTTTGTGAAATGTTCCACTAGGATATGAGCTTATGGTAGATCTTTAATGGTTTCAAAATGTGTGCTTATATTTTATATTAATTTTCACTAGAATGTCACAGGTAGACTAATGGTTGGCCTGCGTTGGTGGAATCACATTGATGAAGATGGAAAGAGCCATTGGGTGTTTGAATCCAGGAAGGTAAACTGCCTTTTTTAAAAAGTGGTGTCATGAAGCAAATTATATATAGATTGCATTTGAGTATTTAAGTATAAAGTAGTCAAGATTAAAAGCACTACCCTAAATTTCTCGGCATGTAGTACTAAATCAAATAGCCTTCTAAAACTTAATATCACTTTTCTGTCTAGTTCAGACCAGAAACAAGGCATATACAAAACAGAATTTTCTGAGAGAGGGCATTGAGTTACAGTTTATACAGTATGCAAAACTGCCTGTTGGGTTGCTAGATAACAGATCTCTTTGTTGCTGGATATCTCCATGGATCTCTATGTCCAGTAGATTACTGATTCCAACATCTTTTTCTGTCTTTGCTTCCAAGGTCTTCATTCATTTCTGGACAGGAAAAGGGTGGAGAAGGATTGCAACTGGGTAGAAAATCTGAATTGATCCGAACAATCTATTCTTTAAGCTTCAGGAGACCTGGGAGCCCTTGTCTGTTTTGTATTAGACTGCTACCCTATAGTGAATATTTAGTTTTCCTGTGGACAAAATTCTTGGAGACAGTACCAAGGACCTTGACAAGTAATACTTCTCAGAAAGTGACATTGTGCTCAGTGAGCCTATATTCTATATTGTAAGATCTGCCTTGGAAACATCACCCTTGTGAATTCCTGGATGTTGTGAAATTACTCTCCAGGATGACTGGAACCTTGATTCTTATGCAGAAAGGTATCATTCAGAGCTTCCTTATGAATAAATAGTATAGGTACAAGAAAAATGGAATAAAAGCCTATCAGAGACCACTCTTTACTGTCTTGGGTCATGGTAAACTGTCCATACTGCTATGAAAATGTAAAATTCTTTAGTTAAATTATACTAAAGTCAGTTCCTAAAATCACAAGACTGATAGAGTTGTGGTTTTGGGGGATCTAATGTATGACTTGGTTGTCTGTATTAATATTTAAATTTTAGGTTAATGTGTTTTTTATTAAAAATGTTACACTTTTTACTAATCTCACAGTAGTGTTAATTGAATTTATGCTCTTTTATAGGCATCCTCTCAAGAGAATAAAAACATTTCAGAGGCTGAAGCAAGAATCTTTTGGTTGGGACTTATTGCCTGCCCAGTGCTGTGGGTGATATTTGCCTTTAGTGCCCTTTTCTCCTTCAGAGTAAAGTGGTTGGTGAGTATCAACATAGAACTTTTGAGTATTCCATAGAGGTGTTTAAGGTAATCATAATAAGCAACAGTCTATGTCCTTAACTGTGGTGACCTATTTTGAATAGGTGGCTTCATCATGTATTTCCCAAGTTCTGTTTCCCAGCTCTACTTTTCTCTAAGTATTAGACAGCAGATCCTGTGAAAGACTCCATTTCACCAATTTTTTAGGATAGTGCCTATAATAGGGTGGGCTTTTCTGGAAATAGTGACTGGTAACCTGTTTTCTGTTACCTGTTGCTGCATAACAAATTGCTCCAAAACCCAGTGGCATAGAACAACAACAGTCATTATCTCATAGTTTCTATGGGTCAGGATCTTACGAAAGGCTCTGCTGGGAGACTCTGGCTTGCGGTCTTGAGTAGTTGTAGTTAAACAGTGGTTGGGAGCCGTGAGGCATCTCTTTATGAGGTCCTATGGCCTCTTCACATGTCTCTGTGTGATTTAATTTGGGCTTCTTTGCAGTATGGTGGCCTCATGGCAGTGGGACTGCTTATATGGTGGCTCAGTCCTCAACTTGGGGTGTTCTAGTTCACAAGGTGAGTTGCTTTTTACAACCTAGTCTAAGATATTACAGCATCACTTTTGCTTTTTCCCATCACTCAAGGGAATGGGAGTTAGGCTCTACCGCTTGTTGAGGGAATAAGAAGTTTCTAGAAAAGCACCTGGAATAGGACATAATGTTTCTGCCATCTTTGGAAAGTACAATCTGTCACTTGTCCCAAACTGTGAGTTTTTTTTTTATAGTGGATTTTATTCCACTTAACATGTATTGATATCAGATATATATTTGACCACAAATTATGTCCCCTCAAGTTCTAGTGCTTCCTTGTTTCTATTTTGCTATATAGGTTCTCTTTTTCTTTGTGTGTGCACATACATTCATACTTTCCTTTGGATTTGGGAGCTTTATTGTCTATTTTTAGTTCTTCTTGGAGTTATCATTATTACTTTATATGTTTATATCATAACACTCTTTCATGAATTAGGAAGTTTATTCAATGTTTATGGATTTCCTGTTCTGAAAGATGAGAAAGTTAACACTCATGCTTTTTCCCACTTCTTCCTGCTCCTCCTGCTGGATTTTTGTTCATTATAGTCTTATTTTAGTTCTTTTAGTGGTTGTCTTTGTAACATTGATTAATCTACTTAAGCCTGTTAGTGACTTAATAGACTCTGTTTAAAAAGGAAAGAAAATAAACACTCATTCCTGTGAGTTTGTTCCAATAATATATTTGTGTGGTTCAATTTTATAGCAGTTACCTTTTGAAAAGATTTCTTACTGGTTGTTCAGTCTTGATCTGTTTTTTAAATACATTGATTCAGTGCCTATCACCTGTCTTATTGCAACTTCTCCTTTTGCCTCTTGGTTGGCTACATTTCATCATTGGGTGATATTTTTGAAAAGAATGTGTTAGTGTCATTTTCTTTTGACTCTTTCATGTTTAAGAATATAAGCCTATTGGTTATTCTTGAATGATGACTTGGTAGAATTGATATTATTGGGTCACAGTTTCTTTTTGGAAGATATTACTTCATCATTTTCTTATATTGAATATTTTGGAGAAATCTGAGACCAGGCTTACTTAAGTTCTGTGTAGCTAAGTGAATCATTTTACTCCCTAAAATTTTTTTTATTCTTGTAATTTTAAAATATTATAACCAGTATGTATCTATTTATTTTTCGATATCAACTCTTCCGGAACCTGTGTGTCCTTCTGACATGCAGACTCCAGTTTTGCTTGAAATTGGGAAAATTATTTTTCTGTTACATCTTTATTTTTTTAATGCTCTATTTTTGATCTCTCTAGTTCTGAGATACCAGTTTTGTCTATCTGAGGTACCAGTCTATGCTGGATCATTTTAATCTGTTCTCATCTGCTATTTTCTCATTGCTTTAATAGTTTATCTTTTCCTCTTTAGTTATTCATTCAGCAGGTATTTTTAAGAGTTCACCCTATGTCACAGCTATTCTGGGCATTGGAGGTTCAGGGGAGGAGATACAAGTAGGGGCTAGGTAAACAAGTTAATTTCTGCAATAGAGCTTATGTTCTAGTGGACAGTAGACAGATAATATAAAAATAATAGAGAACTGGTTATAATGTTAGATAGATAATGATACAGGGTAATGGGGCAGAAAGTGTAGAGGAGAGAAAGGTAGTCACTTTAGATTAGGTGGCCAGTGAAGGGGTCCTTCTGTATTTCCTTAGCTCTGTCAGCTCCATTTTCATCTCCTTTATCTTCATGCGTTTTGAATTTTTGAAGTGTTCAGTAAACACTTCTATAGAGTGAAGTATTCCCAGGAATGCTTTTATTTTGATGGATTATATTTCTTTAAGTAGATTCTTCATCTGTCTTCTGCATATTGTGTTCCTTTCTTCTTGGTTTCTTTGCTATAGTTTTGCATAGATGTGTTTCCTTTTTTCCTTGTCCTTTTTGCTCATGCTTACAATGGCAGCTCTGTCCATACCTTCTCTTTCTGCTGTCTTAGTGTGGGTGAATTCTCCTTGCCCACCTTTCCATGTTCTTTGAGGCATGTGACTGCTGCTCTGAGCTAGAGTTTGAGTGCTGTCTTTGGTGACCTGAAGACATAGGTGTGAGGAGGAGAACTTGGTTGGGCTCTGACCGCCTTGGTTGCTTGCTTGGTTGCTTGCTAGTGGAGTTCTTGCACTCTATTGTGGTTACCCCTTCCTGCTTTAGATCGTTTGTTATCCAGGAGAGTCACCTCAGTCTTTTTCTAGCAGTGTTCCACATTCCTAAAGTGAAACAGGGAAAGGTTTTGTGAAAGTGGTTTGGTCCTGTGTTAAGATCACAGAATGGGAAGGGGGCTCTCCATGAGCCTCCTACCCCCTTGCTTCTCCTAAGATGGCCAGCTCTCATGATTGTTGGTCTTTCTGTGCTTCCTTGCCTACCTTCTTCCCACCTGGGAGGCACCACTACAGCCAGCTGCAGGGATTTTCATGCCTTTTTTGGGTCATTGTTGGTTTGGAGGAGTTTCTGCTCTCATGTGTTTTTTCTGCCATTTTTTTTTCCTTAGGGCTATCTATGTCCTCTGGCCTTCTGCTTCTTTTTGTTGTTGGGGGTGGTAATTATTAGTGAAACTTTTCTTAGAGCTTCTTTGAAGAGTTAGCTGTGTAGAGCTGTCCCAAGCTGACTTTCTCTCTGGCCACCAGTCCTTTCTTATGTTTATTGGTACTTGTTTTTTTGCCTTTAAAAAAACCTATTTGCTATTTGTATCTTAAGGGGAGTAAGATCTCTGACTTCACTACACATCTTAAGCCAGAAGTCTGTTTGTTTTAACTTATAAATACATTTTAAAATTTGTTGCCATTGTGTAAATTGATGTCTCAACAGGAGCCATGCTCAGTCTGTGAATCTAGGTGCCCCCTGGCATATTGGTACATACATACCCAGGAGCACTTCAATTTGAGAGGCATGGAAAGTTAAAGGAGATTTATTTAAATAAAAATACAGTTTTATGTGTATTTAGGTAACTGTCTTTTATAATACTAACATGTTTGTTTCCATGAAACACTTTTAGAACAGAAAGTACTTGTGCCACTTTTAGTAGGAATTTGAGCATGTTCCTTAATTAAACATTTAAATAATCCTCTGTCTTGCTTAAAATTAGCTATATAGCTTGGTAAGGGATAAGGAGAGTATGTCTGAATTGGAAAAATACATTTCATTAGCTGCTTTGCTTATCACAGATATAAAAGAGGAGAAGGGTTGATGAGATGTTTATTCTAGAACAGGGATTGGCCAAATCTGGACCAGCACCCACTTCTGTAAATTTTCATTGGAACACAGCCTTGCCCATTTATTACTTACTTAGATATTGTCTATGGCTGCTCTGGGGCTAGTCTAGCAAAGTTGAGTAGTTGCCACAGAGACCACATGGCCATAAAGTCTGAAATAGTCATTATGTGGCCCTTTACAGAAAAACTTTATTGATCTCTGTTTGAAAATGCAATTTTACTGATTTCTGTTTTAGAATAAAACTTTATTGATCTCTGTTTCAGAGTAGCTTTGACTTCCTCACATGTTCTAATTAGTTTTTCTTCCATAATATTTAAAGAGTGGGCTTGAATGTTTTATTCTCAATTATCTGTGATCCTAGTGAGATCACCTATAGCATTCCTGATGTGGCCACAAGGAATAAACAGCTCTGCAAAGTACAGTTCCTCCTTGAGCTGTCTGTCTCCTTTCTTGCAGAAGGAAAACATCTGTTGATTTCTGCTTTAAGTCACTGAGTTCCCTTTCCCAGGAGCCAGTTGCCACACATACATTAATATAGAGGAAAGATTCTCCTTTGCTTGCTCTTGGTTTATTGGACTTGCTCTACCTCTTGACCACTCTTTTGCAGTTTTTAAAGGAATAACATTTGAAACTTTCCTGAGTCTCAGTTACTTTTCCTTATGACTTTACTTGCAGACCCATGGGAACTATGAGAGAGAGAGGTTTTCCCTTCATTGCATCCTCAGAGGCTAGCATAGTACCTGGCATATATAGCATTTGTGTTCAGTAAATATTTGTGAATAACTTAGTGCCTTGTGCAGAGCATATATCAGTTAGGTCTGTTCTGACAAGCTAAGGAGTCTTTTTGGCATAACTCTGGCTTTGCGGAGCTTCCTATTTTTTTTTCCTTCTTTTTCTCATGATAGCTTGCCTTGTCTCACGGCACAGAGAAAGGTCAATTTTAGGCCAGTAATCACTGTTTATTATTTTTTCCCCTAATCCAGGCAGTAGTTATCATGGGTGTGGTGCTACAAGGTGCCAACCTATATGGTTACATCAGGTGTAAAGTGGGCAGCAGAAAGAATTTAACCAGCATGGCTACCTCATATCTCGGAAAGCAGTTTTTGAAACAAGTAAGTATTTTCTGGTTGTGATTAGTGATTGATGCAATGATTTCTAACTCTTGTAGAGTTTAATTTTTATGAAATGCTTCTTAACAAAAGTTTTTTTAAGGCATGTACTTATTTAAATATGAAGTAATGATAAAGATGTTTTAATTGCTCTTTGAAAACTTTTAGGATATTCTAGAAATGTATTGTCAGTGCTTGAAAATTATTTCAAAACCCAGAGAAATAAACTATCATTGATCAAATAATAACTTATTTTAAAGAAATTGCTATAAGTTTAGTTGCTTTTCATTAATTACATTGACTTTAAATGAATGTTCTTGAATGTACATTGTATGGTTTTAGGGTTTATAGCAAGAACAGGTTGAAACATAATACAACCTTATCATTAAAGATTGTTTAAAAGCACTCATGATTTATTCCTTAGAACTTAGAGGTTTTTATTACAATTTTCCAATATCAGGGTTTTCAGTGCGATACATAGTAGTCATAGGTAAATAGTTATTGGTTAAATCTCTTGGGAAAGTTGACTAGGTCTTTATATGAGCAATGCCTCGTGTTTGTTTAATGTAGCAGGTTGGGCAAGTAATGTTATATAGCAGTGGTCCCTGACTTTTTTGGCACAAGGGGTGGGTTTTGTGGAAGATAGTTTTTCCGTGAACTGGGAAACGTTTTTCCATGGGCAGGGGATGGTTTCAGGATGATTCAAGTGCATTTCATTTATTGTGTACTTTATTTCTATTATTTTTACGTTGTAATATGTAATGAAATAATCATACAACTCACCATATTGCAGAATCAGTGGGAGTCCTGATCTTGTTTTTCCGCAGCTAGATGGTCCCATTTGGAGGTAATGGGAGACAGTGAGCATCACTGCCTCAGCTCTACCTCAGATCATCAGGCATTAGATTCTCATAAGGAGCGTGCAACCTAGATCCCTTGCATGCACAGTTCACAATAGGTTTCATGCTCCTATGAGAATCTAATGCCACTGTTGATCTGATAGGAGGCAGGGCCCAGGTGATAATGCAAGTGATGGGGAACAGTTTTAAACTTTAAATACAGATGAAGTCACTTGCTCACCATCTGCTCACCTCCTGCTGTGTGGCCTGGTTCCTGACAGGCCCATGGACTGCTACTGGTCTGTGGCCTGAGAGTTGTAGACCCTTTATATAGGACAGGGGTTCTCAAACTTGAACATGCATCAGAATCACCTGGAAGGCACAAGATTGCTGAGCTCCACTCCCAGACTTCTTATTCAGTAAATCTGGTGGGTAGAGTTTCGTGATTTGCATTTTTAACAAGTTTCTGGGTAGTGATAATGGTGTTAGTCCAAGGATTACACTTTATGATTTTATTTTTTGAGTTGGGATATCATGCAGATGCGTAGGCCGGAGTGCAGTGGCATGATCACGGCTCACCACTGCCTTGACTTCCTGAGCTCAGGCAGTCCTTCCACCTCAGCTGCTGGGGTAGCTGGGATTAGAGGTGTGTGCCTCCATTTCTGGCTAATTTTTGTGGGGTGTTTTTTTTTTTTACTGTTTTTTTGGTACTGTTTTACTGTTTTTTTTTTTTTACTGTTTTTACGAGGTCTTGCTATGTTGTTCAGGCTGGTCTTGAACTCCTGGCCTCAAGCAGTTCTCCCACCTCAGACTCTCAAAGTTTTGGGATTACAGGTGTGAACCACCATGCCCAGAGATTACATTTTAGCTAACTAAGGCCCTGGCAGATTAAGTGATTTAATCAAGAATGTGCAAATAAGTGTCAAAGCTAGGGTTTGAACCCAGGTCTCTATACTAAAAATTTAGTGTACTTTCTATTGTACTGTACAGTTTCTGTCATAGAAGATATGAGGCAGAGAAAATGAATATTCTTGTAGGGATATGCTTCTCATCCTGAAGGATTTTTGCATAGCCCCAAGATATCTTTGCTGTGGTCACCTTAGGGTAATTTTTATACATGTACTTATCAAGTTTTTTTCCCTTAGGATTTTTAGTGTTTTTAAAGGTGGGGAGGAACATTGAATACAGGTGAAATAAAACCTTGAGCCTGGTATACATGGTTAGGAGGTTAGTGTCTTACATGGTACCTGGCAATGCTGTATTCAAGTGGGGCAAGATGGGCATTTGTGTGGATGGTGGTATCCATGGATTTACTTCTCCAGTGTGTCTACTTTTTAACCTTGATTGGGCCATTTAACCTTGACTGGACCATAAGGTAATATAAGTAGCTGGTTCTGCCTAGAAATATGAAATGTTTTCCTAGGCCTCGTGCTTTGAAGTCCATGGTGTGTAAAATGAAATAACTTTGAATATTAAGGAGCTTCTTTCTCTTGCAGAACACTGGAGATGATCAGACTTCTTGAATAGAGAGAGAAAGCTTATATGTTCTGTTACACTGGGGAACAACTGAAGAGATTCTTGATTCTGAACCATTAAGAGCACAGCTTATGTTGCAATGAGGAGTACTGGGTTTGTTTTTTCTACTTAAGAATTATATTTAAAAAAAGAAAAGTAATTTTCGTATTAAAATTTTATTTTCTTTCCAGTAGTTGGGGCTAGAAAGTATGTTGTCACTAGAAACATTGTCAAAATTTGTTTTGTGGTGTACATAAGTTGCACATAGTTATATATCAGTATGTCTCAAATTAAGTGTTTGTGTTCATTTACATATGTAACAGAAATGTTTGCATTTTGATCCATAGAACATAGAATTACGTTCTTAGTCTATTTCAAAGCATGTGTTTATGTATTATTTCTGTAGATTATTTTCAGAAATAAGCTTTGCTTTCATGATAAGAGTACTTTGGCATATGTATAAGTTAGAAATAATTGCTAATTTTTAATATGTACTTCATGGTGAAATTTAGAGATGTGCAAGCAAGTAAAAACCAAATTCGGGTCAGTGGTGTTAACTAGTTTCTAAAATTTTTGTTTATTTTTATTTGTTAGAAGTCATTTACTTAAGGCTCATTAATAGAAGTAGAATCTTCAGAGTTTATGTTTAAGGGATATCCAGAGATTGCTGCTGTTCTTACAAAAGATAGCCACATTTCACTTTGGAACTTCCTGGAATCTCTTGGTCCTTGGACTAATAAAATTTTTTCTTGTATCACTAAAAAAGCATTATTCTTATGTCATAATGAGAATTACATTTAAATACTTGGCATAATAATTGCCTGAAAGACAGTTTATGAATCTATTTTTTTTCTTTTTGCTATAATGGGAATATTATAAATCATGAATTTGTAGTATTTCTTAAAGCAGTATATTTAACTGTAAACTAATCTACAAACTATCGTAGTCTGTAAATTCAATTGTTGGTACTGTAAACTTTGGAGTCTTAATCAGATTATGTTGTAAATGTATTTGTACATTGTTAAATATTTTTAAGTTGTTTAATTGAATGTCTTTATTGGAATGATAGCTTTGAAGGTGCAAAACTTTATATTTGTATAAAACTCTACTGTTTACCAAGCATTTGGCATGTGTAATCTCATTTAACCCTCACAACAAATATGTGACACATCAGATATTGAAACTGAACTTCAGATTACTGAGTGATTTTCTCAAGGAAATACAGATTATCGGAATATCTGTAGAATATAAAACAAGATAAATTACTATTTTTAGGGAAGATATTTGTCTCTAAATATCTTTTCCTAGGAATCAATAATTTATTTAAGTACTTGTTTGCCATTTTATTTACATTTAACTGTTCCATATGGTGAGAAAAGTAAATAATGCATAAAGACATGTTTTTATTTAATCCAGAAAAATCTAAACCAAATCTTTAGGGTTGAGAGTCTAATAGGAAATACATTGGTATAGTTCTTAAGGTAAATGGGTTATTTGAGCCTATAATCCTAAACCAAAAAAGAATTGTAGGAGCTACCATGTACCCCCCAATATTCATTTTTTTCCCTTATACAGGTTTCCCACTTTAATTAGCTAGGTTGTGGCAACCTGGAATAAAGATAACTTTTCCTAGATTTTTGCTGCATCTTGGTGTGGCCATGTGACTAAGTTCTGGCCAATAGATACACTTCCAGTAGGTATCCTTAAAAGAAAAGGTCATACCTGTCTTTCCTTCATTTTTCCTTCCTGCTGGCTGAAATGTAGACACCATAGCTGGAGCAGCCATCTTGGACCAGTGGGTAGAGACCTCTTTTGTGAATGACAGGGAAAAATGTAGAGCTTGTTTGAATCCCATCCGGTGGGTATAGCAGCCCTGAACTACTTGTCTGAATTTTTAAGTGAGAGAGAACTAACTTTTACGTGTTATTGTTCTGGCTTCTCTGTTGCTCACAGCCTAACTGAATTCTTGTCAATACAGTGCACTTTGAGCATCACCCGTATTTGTTTCTATTAGTATAGTATTTGAGATGTAATAATTTAGTAAATACATATTTGACCTGTGCAGTAATTAGGTTTATATTATAAGTGCTGACAAGCCCCACCATTCCCTAATGCTATTGCTGCATAAAAATTAATACCAAAAGTTATTGGCATAAAGCAGTCATGTTGTTATGCTTAGAAATTCTGTAGGACAGGAATTTGGATGGAGTGCATTGGGGTTGGCCTCTCTCTGCTAAACAGTATCCAGAACTTAGCTGGGAAAATTTGTAGACTGGATTCAATGTGACAGTTGAGGCAGGAGACATCTGGGGGATCCTCAGCCATAGGACTGGAGGTTGATGTTGGCTGGCAGCTGGGTCCTCAACAAGGCTGTGGGCCCCAACTTTTTATAAGGGGGCTTGTATATGAGCCTATTTGTGCCTACTGGGGAAATAAGTAAATTTCTCAAAGTTATCTTACAAACTCGTTATAGCAAGGGTATGTGGAATGGGAGATACTGTGGCAGCCATCTTTGGAAAATAAAATCTGCCACACTTACTTTAATCATTTTGTCAAGATTGAAAAAATTACTTGGGAGAGACTAAGTAGTTTTCCTTTTTATCATCCCTGGGTCAGCTTGGATACAGGTGATTTGACTGAATAGTACAATTAAAGTGAAAACAACATCACGTTCTATAACTCCTACAGCATTTATTCTTTGACTCACATCCTCTTAATAGGTAAGGGTGTGTGTGCGTGTGTGTAGAGGTGATGGCACATTAATTCCACCATGAGTCTTTAAAATCGGTATAACTCTTGGAGCTTATTAAAGTTCTTTTATGTATTATCTCCTTTGTTTGTCCTCATAACCTAAGAAGGAAGAAGGGCCATTATGTACCATATAACCTCATGTTTCAGATACATAACTAATATTGAGAAGTAAAATAATTTACTGAAGGTTGCATTAGTAGAGACAGTAATGCTTACTAAATACTTCATTTGTTCTCTGTTTCCCAGCTCCCTCAATTAGTTGAGGCAGTGTGGTTAGGTATGGCCAATGAAATGTGAGTGAAAGTGACTATTGTCATTTCTGGGTGAAGAGGGTAAAGTTTTCTGGTGGGAGATTCTCTGGTCTTTCCTTTCTGTGGTAACCAGTGGTGTTCAAGGTGGAGCCTCAGTCAACCTAGATCTTAGGTGACTTTTGTAGAACAAAACCCCTTTGCCTATTCCTATCGGACCAATAGTAAAAGTGAGAAGTGAACTTTTGGTGTATCTAGCCACTCGATTTCTTTCTTTTTTTTTTTTTTTTTTTTGAGTTGGAGTCTCAATCTGTTGCCCAGGCTGGAATGCAGTGGCATGCTCACGGCCACCACAGCCTTGACCTGCTGGCTCAGGTGATCTTTCTACCTCAGCCTTCCAAGTACCTGGAACTACAGCGACCTGCTGGCTCAGGTGATCTTTCTACCTCAGCCTTCCAAGTACCTGAAACTACAGGTACATGCCACTATGCCCCACTAAATTTTTTTTTTTTAAGTAGAGATGAGGTCTTGCCAAGTTGCCCGGGTTGGTCTCGAACCCGTGGGCTCCCAAAGTGCTGGGATTATAGGCGTGAGCCACTGTACCCAGCCTTTGATTCCTTTTGCAAGGAAAGAAGCTGGATTCCTTGTCCCGTAGTGCAGGGTCATCAATTCCAGTGGGACCAGACAGACTGTAAGTGGGTGAAGTTGACCATGTGAGAACTGTTAAATAGAGGTCACACCCCATCTAAAGAAACCAGAAAATTCTCATCTCCAGCCATTTGTTGCCATGAATGTGGTCCCTGTGTTGCTGGGTCTTTCAGTTTTTCATGAGAAATGGAAAATCTGGTTGTTTATATGAAACCTGATCTTTAAATGCTTGTAAATTAAAAGGAAAGAGAAAACACATGCGAAGCCAAACTAAATATGTTTGCATGTCAAATTCAGCTATGCCAACTTTTGCCATGGTACAGTGGTTTTCAGACTTTTCAAACTAGTGGAATGCTTTCTCTTCATTGAGTCTGCATCAAAGCCTAGTATCTGTAAGAAAGAAGCAGTGCTCTAGCAGAAGCTGGATCAGAAGTTCTGGAATCACCCACTCAGCTTCACCACTAGTTTCCAAGGAACCTTCTGAGCCTGTTTGAAAACAGCTGCTAGGAAAATGAAACCAAAGTCTCTTCTTGACTTTGAAGAATACAATCTAAGATTGTATACTTAAAAACATACTTTTCACTTAAAAATAAGATCTAAATAGTATCTCATTCTTGTAAGAAGCAGGAAACTCTCCTTAAAACCTTTATATTGTCATTATGAATGAAGAAGTGTAGCATTTCCTCAAGAAGTTATAATTTAGTACCAGGAAAAATTTAATCCTATATATAATTTTTCTCCACAATGATTGGAAAAAAAAAAAAACCCAAAACACTTCATGGTGAGAAGATCAAGCGGCATGGAAAGACTTACCAAGAAAAGCAGCAGTTTCTTACCCACTCTCAATTTTGTTCCTCAGAAGCAAATATCTTTAGCTGCTTCTGTTTTTGTATTTGGGGGTAAATACTGCTAATAATAGGCTTGTAGTATTTATTTGGCTTATCAACTTTATATATTAACTGTTGAGTTCCTGCTATGGAAAGTGAAGCTTTAACTTAAACCCTTCCCCCACAAATAGTTTGAGCACTATTTTTTATTCACTTGGTTGTAATACTGAAGTTTGTACATAAACCTCTATTTTTTAGAGACTTGTTGATTTGCTCTTTTAGGTATGAGTTCTACCATAAGTATCAGACAATCCTTCAGATAATAGTAGCTAGACAAAGACGGGTTTGTGTTTTTTCCACAAAGGAAATCTGGAACTAGGCAGTTGCTGGTGTTGATGCAGCTACTTAATTTTATCGAGGACTCTGAATGTCCACCATCCCTAAAGAACTAGTTTTTGTCCTCATGCTTGTCTCATGATCACAAGATGACTGTGAAGAAGACATCTATTTTTAAGGAAGGGAAAAAGATGGAAGGTCCAGTTGTATCTGTTACCTTTGATGAGAAAAGCAAAAGCTTTCTTAGAAATCACAGGAGACTTGTTTCTTCTTTCATCTCACTGGCTGAAATGATGTCACCCAGGTTTAAGGCAGTCTGGGAAAACAGGTATTTTGGTAGACACATCCTGCCTTGTATAAAAAGTGAGAGTTTGTTAGTAAGGAAAAAGGAGGAAAGGGACATTGGGGAGGCAATTAGCTTTGTCTTCTCATGCTTTTCATACTTACTCAGTGGAGGTTGGATGCTGTGGTGGCTAATGCTCCCAGCATCATTTCTGCAGTCAACAAATAGCCTTCTATCTGGACAGCTTTTTTTAAAGCCAACTTTTGATGCAAAGCCATTAAAATACAACTTGGTAAAATAGTTCTATGAAAGTGTAGGCTGTTGTACTCTTAAGTATATATCCCTGTTTTAATGTGATTCAGAGATTGGATTTAGATAGTGGGGTGTTTTTGTAAGCTGGGGAGGGATCGGTTGGTGAATGGCTGGTTGATGAGAGCTACTATTTTAGTGGATGAAGACTAGGTTGCTAGGTACCTGTAGAGCATAGGACAGTTATGTAATGCATCTCTCATAACTTCTAAGTACCCTGCTGTGTAATTATGTACTTGGAGATTCTGTTTATACTATTAAAGGGAAATTAATTCTTATAGCCGTGGACTGGAAGCTGACCTGGCCCTAGCAGTTAGGCCATGGCGTTCTCCTGAGGTACATAAACAATTTTATAGAACACCAACATCCAGCAAGGCTGCTCTGTAACTGATGGAGCAGGACAGAAATAAGGACATTCCATGGTCATGTTGGAGCACAGAAACAAGATACTATGCAAACCTCAGAAGATGACCAAACATCTCTGTCTCCTGGCTTACATGAGTGACTACTGCTATTTTACTCATTATAGCTTTAGACCACTGTTCCTCCTGCCTCCTAGATTAAAAATTTAAGATACTCACTCATAGAATTGCCCTTTCTTTTTTTTTTACATTTATTTATTTGTTTGAGTTGGAGTCTCACTCTGTCACCCAGACTGGAGTGCAGTGGCATGTTCCCGGCTATGTACCACCATGCCTGGCTAATTTTTTGAGGTCTT